AATATTACTACATAGCATTCAATGTCAACATTTCCCACCTGTTCCACAGTGTTTCAAATGGAGATTTCAACTTCCACTGAATAAATCACCAATGGATTCAAGGGATGATGATGTTTGATTGATACATTCATGATAACTAGTGGATTCTTAAAGAAGTTTGCTGCACTAAAGCCATAATTGCCTCAAACTAAGACTCTACCTTGAATCCTAAACAAATGATATGCATACTAACATGGCTCCTGGAGCTGGTAGGAAGGGTGTAGCAGCAGGACCAGTTGGGACAGTCAGTTTAGGTCGGGACAAGGTAACCAGGATACTGAGGAGTGTGAGCTTTCCCTTCATCTGGCTTTAAACAAATATTTACTAGAGCTTTAAGCACAGGCAAATAGGCTCTCAAGTAAAGACTGACATGTAGGACAGGCTTTCCCATACAGTGATGATGCCTACATTAGATGTTTCTCTGAGATAATAAAAAGTGATGGGGGTTAACCAGGGAGACAAAAGCTATGTTAATGAGACAATGTGCAGAAAGGCACAAAGGTATTAAAGCTAATGTACATCAAACTTCAGCTTGAGCTTTTAGTGATTTCACTGTGGGGAGGCAGACATGCTGTACTGTGAGAGAGCATATTCAGGATAAGTTTCTATCAGTCACAGAGAGATCTGTAGCCAGATCTACATGCCACAAAGGCTTCATTCAAAATTACTTTTAATATTTATGACATAATGTGTTTGACTTTCAGAATTTGATAAATGTTGGTCAGGGATTACATATTTGGTGCATTCTGTGTTTTGGCACTGTATTTTACTCTAGATGTCATTTTTCTACAAGATGAAAAAGGTGCAGCTTGAGCTCAGTTCTTTGAATTAATTTGTCAGTTTGAACTGGAAATGTAAAAGGGTGGTTAACTCCTTAATAAGGTGGAAAGGTTGCAACGCTGGCTTCATCAACTGATTCTCTCACAGAGAGACAGTACACACTAAAGCAGTGGAAGGGAGATATACTCTTAAACATAAGGAACTAAAACTAGAATGAATGGTGAAAGTGTGATTGCTGAATGCTGCATCATTTCATCCAAATGACAGATGGCCCATATCAGATGTTTGGGGTGTGTGTGTGTGTGTGTGTGTGGTTAATGTTTAGTTAATGATTAACATAACCTCCCATTAAGTCCACCTCTCTGCTCCCTGGTGCTTGCCTGCAGCCTCAGTTCATGACGTAGGAGATGGACGGTAATGAATAGGCCCCCAGTGGAAAATACATGCAGTCATCATGAATGTGCCAACAGGAAAATGATTATCAAAAAAGCACCACAGGGAGAGATGGAGATTATCGTCCCCGTCGTTGTAAATGTCAACCTTTTCAGGACACACGATATGTTGTCGTCCAGGGGCAATTCAAACAGGCACAAAAAGACGGACAACCACTTACTAAAAAATAATGAGTGGATGACCATCACTTGGACACACTCCCAATGTCAGTTACAGGTTTATTAGTAGTGACACTGAGCTCACTTGTATTCTTACTGGCCTGATCAGACAGGTGTCATTTAACATGATAATACTGACTGATGTACTGGGATACATAAGCTGGAGGTTTTTCTCTATGAATTTCATGCCTTCATAACCTGAATCTCTGATTCAGTCAACCAAATTCACCTGGTGAAAGCCTTCCTTTGCTTTTCTTTGTTCGACCCAGACACCGATTCACAAAATGTAAGAAAGAATCTTTAATTGAGTCAATGGAGTAAAGAAATTACTTTTCATGAATGTTTTTTTCTCAGTTAAACTTTGGATAAATGTTTGTAACTACAGTAGTCAGGCAATATGTTGTCAAAGGCTGACACGGCTTTCTTTAGAGCACTGCCTGTTGCCAGCTGTATGCAAATAAGGCAGTGAAATAGTCTTTCCACCTGGTGCTTCAGTTACTGAAACCATGTTGTTATCAAGTTGTCCTATAGATAAAGGAATGGTTCTGTACAATGCAGTGTCTTTTACATTTTTGTAGGCTTTGTTTAACATTCATTACAGTAATTTAGCTCACTTGTGCTGCAGTGCCCATGAACCCCTTTAAAACAAATTTCTTTTAAAACAACCCAACCAAAGTCAACATCCCACTATTTGTCTGAGCTGAGGCTTGACAGTGTTAACAACAGTGATGCTCCCGTAGAGAAAAACAAACTTTGTGTCTTTTCCAGTTGCCAACCCGTACCTGCATAACGCGAGCCGAACGAACAAAACTTCATCTTCAGGTATTGTACGTGAGGCTCAACGTGAAGCAAATACAGACATGAAAAAGTCACAAAAACGATTGTATGGTGATCCAGAGAGAGTGAGGGAGAAGGGTACTGAGCACGTAACAGCTGGCTTCTCTGCTGTCAGGTAACCTTTGGAGGGAGATTTGGAAAAGTTAGAACACCAAGCAAATGTACACATTTGTAAGAATGGATACTCTGAAGGAAATAAAAAAATAATAAAATAAAAAAAAATGAATGAAAAGCGTGACAGCCTACCTTTAGAAGAAGCCAAGCAATCGAGGTCAAGATGCGCAAGCTTGGTCAGGTTTGGCTCACCTTTTACACGCACTGAATGTGTGCTGTTTGTGACAGGTATACACCTTTTATACCTCTACATGCTCTCTCTCTCTCTCTCTCTCTCTCTCCACCCCTCATGGATGAAAGACAGAGAGGATCCTCAGGGTGCGCACAGACACCTGTCGCATGGTGCGTTACTCTGATCCAATATTGACATAAAGGGGGAGGGGTCCATGTGTGTGTGTGCGTTTGGGCCACATGCACGCACACACACACACACACACAAAATGAATTATTCTTACCAACCCTTTTCCTCCATTCAAAGCACCCTCCCCCACTCCTTCTCCTGTGTGCCAGGCAACGTGCCTGACCTTTGTGCCTGCGTGGATCAGTAAAAAGGCGCATTGTAACGTAGCTACCTGTCGACTCAATTTTTCCTATTCAGCTCCTGCTTGGGCATCATTTCCATATCATATGCCTTGCAAATGACTTTCTGCTGCTGGGTGGCTCACCTTGCCAAAAAGATTTTGGGAAAGGCTCGCTGTGGAATCCTCCAGGTGTTGTGACAGGAAACTGCTCGGGGTTCAAACTAGAACTGCCAAAAAAGGAAACTCCACCCTGAGACGTGAGGAAACACTGATGCAGCCTTTATGAACGGACACATATTTTCCAAAACAGGAAATAAGGGGATCATGATATGAATTTTATGACTTTGGGTGGCAGTTTGTAGAGTTGGTCCAATAACATTAGTGCTTGTCTCTCTGTTCTTTAGCTGTAAAAGAAAATTATTGTTGTTTGAATGGCATCTGATTGAATTTGGACATTCTTTAGTTATTAGTTCATCCAGTAAATGCACACATTTATATATACAAAAACTATGTGTAATTTGTTATGAAACAAGAGGAATTCTAATAAACCAACTGAAAGAAGCTCTTCAGTAAGCTACAACCTGAACAACAATAGTGGGCCAATCAGAAATTGTGTTACTGCTCTGTGGGTTGGACCAAATTTGGCTGCAAACTTACTGCATGTCCTTAAATTAAAAGCATGGCACTCGTCCAATTTGACACATAAGACTCTTTTCTAGTCAAGGTTATCAGGTTGTGGAAACAAGTATCTTATGGCTCTGGAGAAGCTTCATCAAGTCTGAAAAAATAACTCTGATGATGTCATCAGGGTTTCATAGGCTTGAATGTGACAGAAAATCTGGGGGCATGGAGTGTGAAAGATGAGAGCATTTAACCAAGGAGGCCAGAGTTGGACCAGTAAAGCAGACTAAAGCCTGCATGGAGAAAAATGACATGAGAGATGTAACCGTATTTCTTAGATTATAAACTCTCTGTGAATCTAAAAAAAACTATTCGCCCATCAGTGTTGCTGCGCTGGTGTTTGACAGCTGAGCCTTGTAGGTGGGCTGAATAAAGAGTCACAATCCGAGTCAGACAAACACACTGAGCCAAGAGACTTTTTGTTGGCGCAGCATAGCGCAGCTATACAGGTACCAGAATTACAGGGTTTCTGCTGTTGCTTTGTCATTAAACCACGCTAATGCTGCGCGATCGTGTGTAGTAGACACTGGTGCCAACAGGAAGTAGCCCCGTAGTAGTATTTCATAGGACCAAAACTGGCTTCACTGCTCTCTATTCTAACCCGCAGGGTGGCTTTGTCCAGTAACATACTGTCTATAGAATCAACAGGCAGGAGAGGTCTAATAACAGATGCAACTCAGTTGCATTATGGGAATTGTATGAACCAAGCTCGACTAATACCACAGACTAAAAGTCAGTATATCTCAGTACCTCAATTTTGACCAGTGTTTTTTTTTAATTGTAAAAAAATCAAGTTAAAATATAGAAGTTTTGATAATTCACAGCTCACTAGACTTTTATCTGAGATCAACTCAGTATCATTGTTTATGGAGCTTTATATGTTGTCATGTAAGGCAGTAAACAGGACTTTTAACTTACACTTTGGATAAAATCAAATAAAGGAAAACTACAAACTAAAAGTAGTATAAAACAAGGGGGAAATAGTTGCAATTATCATAACAACAGTGTCTTTAATGGTACCTTGATTGATGTTTTTCTTTCCAATATGATTACATTCTCATATCCAAATACAGTATACACACCTTCCTAAGTGGCATAGCAGTGGAGATAACCCTGTGTAGATCTTACAGTATGTTCCAAAGGAACTGATAAAAGATGCAATATTAAAATATATACTGTATCTGTAGACTAACACTTGATTATCAGCATTTAAGTATGTCCAGTTTGAGTATGCAAAACAATTTACAAAAGGAATGACAACATATCTAATGGTATCTCATTTCTTCCACCACAATGACATGGAAGTTTAAGACACAAACGCTGTTACGCAGACAGACATAACAGTATACTAATATTAAGGACATATACAGAATGTACAGTAGGGAAGCAATGTTCAGCATTAAACTTGAAGGACTTGCAAGTTTTTCCAACATGATTTATTTAAATGTTTATTGTCACACTTCAAAAAGAAAGCATTGCATTTATTTGAGTCTTAAAAGTCTTACAGAACAAGGCCTCTGTAAGACAAGGAACGCCACATTCAGCCATTAAATCAAGGAGAATACCATGGAGCCGTTTCACTGCATGACTAGTAGTAATAGCACAACTGCCATGGATCCAGGACTCCAAGATTACAAAATTCAACTTCTGTCTAAAATTAAAGGGAGGAGTCTTAATCTGAAGGCAATTCGCTCATCTAAACAAAACTCTGTCACAAACAGTGATGATGTCACATTATAAATTAATTCATATCTTGGTAGAAAAATGAATGCCTCACCTCAGTATTTGTCATTTTACATTAAGCAATATGGACGGCAGACACTGGACTTAAGACAGTTTTAACGACTGCCATCAGCATTCCCTCATCTTGTCATTTTGAATGATCTGGGGGGCTACACACTGATCATCCAAACTAATGAACAACTGCAGCTGTTGAAAAATAAGTATCAAACACAATTTTGTAAATGTAAAGAGCAAACATTTCAAAAGACAAGTCAGGATCACAGTCAAGATTTAATTTGAAACCTATCGTACATTACTGAACTACGGCTGACCAAGCTGTTCCATTTGCTACGAAATGAACTTGTGTAAATTTAAAATCAACTTAATATTGATGTGAAGGTGGTTTAACAATGAATTACTCTGTGACTAGCAGAGATTTGTTAGGTGGTGTCAGGTGCTGTTCTTTGAAGGAGTTTTGAGGAGAGAGATACAAAAATATCTGGAATTTCAATCTAAATAATATACAACAATTAAAAAGAATTAGCCATACCCATAATTTGTGCTACAAATCTTGGTCTAGTATTTCAGAAATGATATGAAAGCATACACAGGAATGGGGGTTTGTGCCAAAGCAGTAGTTTTTGTCAAGGGGATGACACCTTGTATTCCTGCTTTCACAAAGATATCCTCAGGGGACTTCTGAGAGTTTAGCAGCCACATCATTTAGAAAACTAGCTATTATGATTAATACACGATTTATCTCCAACTCTGCATAGTTTGACCTGGACAGGAGGAATTTACCCAATCTAAAAAGGAATACAGAAACCTTTTCTTAAATTTGTTCAGAAGTACCTTAGCAGATAAACTTCAGGTCAGGTTCTGCAGCATGTTAAAAAGAAGGGAATCAAAAGAACACATTTAAAGCAGCTTTTTCATAGGACAGAATCAAGAGAACACAATTCCACACATTCAACAGTAAAGTGTCCAATTCCTCACATCTGCCGGGTACCCCTCGCAAATGTTAATAAACTGTTGTGTAGGAACAGGTGTGCATTTCGATGTGGCGGTTTCGTGTGCAGATGAGCACATCTACATATGTTTCTAGGTATACAACTATGTGCACACTTGCGTTCTTTGAAAATGTACAAAAAACAAAACAAAAAGTATGCCCAGATCATCTGCAAAGGTCTGTTTTAGATATGTAGCATAAATTTGAAAATAAGACGCAATGATGGAGTTGATGCTCCACTGCTCCTATTGGCTGCTCTCGCCCAGTCTCTTTGTGTAAGCCTCCCAGCCTGACTTTCGGTATGACTCAGCAGCTTTCAGCCTATCAGGGGCCTCCAGTATACCCCGACCGACAATGATGACATCAGAGCCTTTGTTGTGGAGGATTTCCTCTGGAGTGGTGTACTGCTGGCCCAAAACATCACCTGCGAGAGAGGGAGAGAGAGGGGTGGGAGGAATAGGTGAGCATGGGAGACAAAGAAATGGGCAGGTTGTTGTGGAGTATTCCAAGCAATCATTTATTGTACTATAGCTCCCCCCTGTGTTACAGAGGAGTCACAACATCAGAAAAGCAAACTGACCCCCTTGACAGCCTTGTACGCAAGTTAACTAGTGCCACTGTCCTAATTTTGGGGTACTGTGTATAAAAAGGGCTTATTATACTACACTGTTCACCCAATATAAACACATCAAACATCCTTAAAACTCAATGTGGTGAGGTATAGTGCAAAACAATATAAAAATATGTCATTGTCCAAAAGCCTATGTACGACACTGTATGATGTACTGTATGTGCCTCTCCTAGTTGGAGACACATTAGGTACACCAGTATGCTGGCAGCCTTCTCCATTCCTGTCTTGATAGGTAACAGAAAAAGCATGGTGAATGTGTTAACAGGAAGCACTCAAAATATCCTGCTAATTTAGTATTAATTCCTGGTCAGCGACAGTCTGTTGAAAAAAAGTGGGCCAGATAATGTTTTTAAAACACTAAATTTAGCTTTATTAAATATTAGGTCTTTGGCAGGAAAAACATTTTTTAATCAATGATTTTATAAACCCCTCCCAGCTTAAGCTAGAGTGCATAAGAGAGGAGGTGGAGTTGCCATTTTGTTTAATGATCCCTGATTGCTTCTTTTGAATATGTGGCTCTTCAGCTGAATCCCTCTTCTCAAGCTATTTTTCTAAATATCTACAGGCCCCCTAAATACTGTGCAAACTTTTTTGATGACTTTGGTGAACTGCTGTCTATAATCTGTATTGACTTTGACTGTGTGGTTATTGTTGGTGATTTTAACATCCACGTTGACAATCCCCCAGGACAGAGGGACTAAAGAACAGTTTTGTGTTCTTGATAATGATGGACTGACTCAGCATGTGATGGAGCCCACACACAATAAGGGGCACACTTTGGACTTAGTCATGTTGCTATCTCTGATCGTTCCTGTGTTTTCTTTGAGTGTGCTATCTCTGTGCACACGAATGATCAAACAGAGGTAATCACAAAATGACATATCACGGAAAACACTAGAGAAAAATGTATTGAGGCTTTCTCTTCAACACCCTCCCTCTCATAGGTCCCAGTCACTGGTAGATAATTTCAATTCTAAAATAACAAATGTTATTCATGCCATTGCACCAGCCAAGGTGAAGGTGGTCTCTGGTAGGAGAAGATCTCCATGGAGAAATGCCACGCTGGTAAGAACTCAAAAAGAAGATTTAATGTTTTTTCAATTTACATTTCCCTGTTGCTTTTATGTTTTATGTAAAGCACTTTGAATTACCTTGTTGTTGAAATGTGCTATACAAATAAAATTGCCTTGCCAGAAAATATATTATAACACACAATTCTTCTAATATTAACCCATAAAAGTTAGAGTGTGTACTTTTCCTGATTTAAAAAGATTCCTTTTAATTACGAGTCTCTCCAGGATTTTATTTACTATTAACAGAGATTCAACAAACCAATCCCCATAAATTCAGCACAACTTTCAATTTTGTCCAGTCACCGCAACTTTTCAGCTAAACGTTGTCATAAGTCAGCTTGTCATTTCCTCGTTTCCAAGACACAGCAGACATACAAAAATAACAGCATCCAAGTCTTCTTTACAAAAACGGTGTTAAACTGTTTTGCAAAACACAAAATATTGTGGTCGAACATAAAAGGAAATCATCTACTGACAAACACATGGACGACGTCAGATGAGTCTAATCACGGTGATCACATCCTGTTCAATTGCAAGAGTGTGTGTGCGCATGCAATTTAGGAACATAGTTTATGAATAAAAAAAGTCTAGTGTTTAAACTAAAATTTAATATTCAATTGTAATTCTTAAGTTTAAAAAATGAGATCTAATTTTTGCAGTTTCACTTATTCCTACAATTTAAAATCACAAAAAAACAAACCAACCAAATGCAAAGAAATGACAAGCCTAATCAAAATGCAGTTAAAATTTACCTCCAGCCTGCATCTGCACCCCAGGGGTCATGTGGATGAACTCTGGCCTCTTGGAGATCTTAGATCCACAGATAAACCCAATCACAAAGTCTGCCTGCTCCTCTGCCATCTTCAGCTGTAAAGACAGATAACAGAGATAAATAAGTGTAAACTGGTAACACTAAATTATGTCATATCTATTTGAATAAACTTAGGGAATGCAGACACATGCTCACCACAGCCCTTGTGTATTCGCCAGTAGCCAGCGACCCCTGGGAGCTCATCTGTGCTATGAGCAAACAGCCCCGGCCCAGAGGCTTTCCTACAGAACTCAGACCCTTCACAACTCCGGGCCCCGGCACCGCATGGGCATTCACTATGTGTGACCAAGATGAGATCTGGTACAAACCACCTGAGAAATGGATACATGAGTACACTGTTAAGCTACATAAAATATTAACAGTTTGGTTTTTGTAAGTCATTTTGAAGACAGGTTTATTTCACACATTAGCCATGTCCAAATTTCTAATTAACAAACAAACACATAAACAAGTAAAATCTTCTCACCTTCATACTGATGTTTAACTGTGTTCCCAATGTCAGCAAACTTACGATCTTCAAAGATGAGGAAGTTGTGTTTCTCAGCCAAAGCCTGCAGTTTCTGGCTGAAGGCCCCCGTGTAGTCCTGTTAGGGCACATAATATATATATTTTTTTATGTCCTGACGATATTTCTCTTGTTGAACACTGACTGGTTTCACTCTAACCTTTAGGATGTCTACATGGGTCTTCAGCACGCAAATGCTGGGACCTAGAGTGTCTGCTAGCTGAAGGAGCTCCGCACTGCTCGTCACATCAGCGGACACGCAGAGGTTAGAGTGCTTCTCCTCCATGATCGTCAGCAGCTTTGATGCTAGAGGGTGAATGTCTGCAGACGAGAGGAGGGAGAGACTGGATGAAGAGCTTCATTTCAAAATGCAATATTTCACTATTTAAAATGACACTATTTTGAAGGCCATGTATAAAAACACTTTCTAAATATAATAACCAGACCAAGAGTGAAAAGTATTTGTTTGGTAAAATCAATACTAAAATTTTAAAGTTGATGAGATGATGTAACCTTGCAAATAAAATGCTGGCAGACTACATACTTGGTAGCTTGGCTCTGTCTGCATAGCTGAGCTCCATGCTCTGCTCCACACATAGCTTCTTGGTGGCAGGAACATGATTGCCATTCTCCTCCTTGGGGCTGAAAGAGGCACGTTCAAGTTGCAAATGTTACTTTGCGATGGTTGCATGTAAAGTATGCGGAACAAAATGCTAACTACACTGAGCATCTAAAGCTGACTTCAGATGCTGAAGTATTATCTCTTATCTCACCACATGTAGTAGTAGTGTGCAGCAGAGGCAAAGCACAAGGACAGCATTAACTTTAGCATCAACTGTATGCCTATTCACAAACGTGGTAGCCCCCTCTGACTGCTGACATTTCATCATGCATTACTTTCCAGCGCTCAGTGGTAACTTCGAGCCATGGCAAAAACAAAGGCAGAGCGGTTTTGCAGCTGAGCGTGTGTGGGCAGGATGGGAAAAATGTACCTGAAAGTGTTATTGTCCTGGATGAACTTGCGGACTCTCTGGGCGGTTTCAGCGTTGATGCGTTCGGCTGTCAGCAGCACACTGAGCAGCTTGGCCATGGAAATGATGGGATGGAGCTTGATTCCCTCAGAAGCCAACATCTCTACACCGCCTTGCTCTCTGTCCATTAGTACTATGGCATCGGTCACCTTTTAAAAAAAAATTAAATTAAATAAAAGATTTCAAAATACATTTACACCCACTGGGGCTGTTGTTTTGAAAAGATTTTAAAGGTAACATTACTTGATGGGCTTCTGTAACCTTTACAGTGATCAAACTATAAAGCATCCATGTTATATTATTGTCCCTACTGTAGTTTTTTGATACTACACCTTCAGTCCCTCTTTGTAGAGCACTTCAGCAGTCTCCAGGATGCTGCTGCCAGTGGTCACCGTGTCCTCAATGATCAGACATGTATCCCCCTCACGAAACGTGCCCTCCACCAGACGCTTGGTTCCTAGCAGGGTTATGTAATGAGCCTTATCAGTCCTTATTCTGGATAAACTGACTGCCACTTTTACTCAGATTTACAGGCCTTGGCGAAGTCATCTTCCAGTGGTGTAAACATCTCAGACACAGCTGTTTCACAAGTATGCTACAATCACATAACTATAGCCAGACCGCCTTAGGGGAGAGTGAGAGACTCCACTTTAAAGACTAACATGATTTTCTACAATTATCTTGTCAGCTCTGTAAGGCCCTAGGAATGGCTTAGGTTACAAACATATGTTTGTTCTGCACTGTGTCAAACTTTGTCAAATGCTGTTTTCTCAAGCGTGGGACACCACAGTTGAGACTTTCTAAAAATGGTTAATCAGTTCTCAATCACAGAGGTCATGAAAGTGCTCCTGCGCTATCTTTCAAAATGTTTACTTTCAATAACGTTGGCCCTTCGCTATCAGGTGTTACAGTATGTGTTTGTCTTTGACCTGCTTTAAAAATCACTGATAGAGGTGCCGCCATAAGTAAACATTTCAACCCATAGAGAGCAGTCCAGCACCTCCATATGGTATCATGTAACATGGATGTTTTCATATTTAATAGATTATTTTTTGCTTTTTATACGAGCTTAGGTTTTCAAATAGCCTTTCAGCCATTTACCATAGTCCTTGGACTCCTTCCGCCTGATGAGCATGGGCAGTTCATTCTGAGAACAGATGATTGTGGCCAAAGGCAGGGCTGTGTATGGAACTCCACACACCGAGTCAAACTGTAGCCCCTCTTCTTGCACTCGCTGATAGATGAGACCTGACACCTACAAACAAAAACAAGAAAAATATAAATAAATTTAAAAAAAATACGGGTTGCAAGTGGTAAGTCTATGGGGGTAAATTGATCAATATCATTACAAGAGAACAGACTGAGTCACAAATACATATTACAATTTGTAAACACTAAACAATCTACGAATAGATTCAAATTCTGCAAACTCTTGATCCACAAATAGGTTCAAACTACAAACCCATCATGATTCACAAATAGAAATCAGCGACTTGTCCTCTAAAAAACAGAATTTGAATGAATGCAAGATGGTTTCCTGCCCATGAGTGTCATATTCTATTTGTAGACCGTTTCGACACTACTGTTTCACAATAAATAAATAAAAATTCTACAAATCACTCATCGCAATTTGCAAACAGTCTAACTTGTATTTTCAAACCACTGTTTCAACACATGCGTACAAATTATGTCCAAAGCTCAGCATTCAAGTGTCATATCTTTGTTTGCAGATCAAACAGTATTTGCAGAACCCTTTGCATTTGTCTACAAATCATTTTGACGCTGCTTTACCGCTGCGAGCGTGACAACAATCCACACATGTAGTCAGTCACTCAGGGGTATTGCTTCTATATGATATCCTTGTAGATTGTAATATGTATTTGTGACTCAGTCTGTGCATTTACAATGATACTGAGATTGACTTACGCCCATAGGAGGTCCTCAACATCAATGCACATGCCAGTCGTTGTTACATCATGCAGCTTAGAAGGTTTAACACTAAATTAAGTAAGTAGTGGGAAGTCATTCTGCTGACCCTACAACTTTTAGACAATTGTTTTTCGATTTTTTATGAAACTTTTTAATTGCTACTAAACTTCATATAGTCAAATTATGGCATCTTAGTATCAACACTTCTTTATTAAAATGATAGTGTCCACACTGTGACAATTTGATTGGTGTTTCTTATTTATTGACATAAACAGACAGGTCAACCAAAACGATCAATCTCGCATGGATCACCAACGTTAGCTGCAAAACTCTTTTGGTAGTTGGTGTATTTGTAAAAACTCATGAAAGTGTCGGGATTCACTGAAACATGTCAATCCATTACTGTCACTATAACTGTTGGACTTTCAGATCGCTGATAAAACACCCACGTGCGCGCCAATACCTCATTAAACTGACATTTTAGGGTGATTATAACAGCATTTTGTCTTTGGATAACGAGGCAGCGGGATGGTTTTTTTTGTTTTTGTTTTGTTTTTTTACACAGCAGCTCCTTTATAAAATATCATATAAAGTTCATCACACTGTGCGGCGGGGGAAAACAGCACGTGTTTAATTTACCTGGTTCATGAGTACTGGGTAAGACACGAGAACTCTCAGGTCGATGTAAATGGGTGTCAGCATGCCGCTCTTCAGCTTGTACTCTCCGAACTTCACCGCGTTCACATCGTGGAGCTTCAAGATTAAACTGTCGATGCAAACGTTTGCCATTTTCTCATGTATCCAGGAGGTTTAACAGGACGTCTCTCAACACGTCTCTTCCTCTGCGTCAGCCACGAAAACACGTCCTTCTTCTTCTTCTTTGGGGTTTTATGGCGGTTGGCATCCAAAATGTTGCATTACCGCCACCTACTGAATGAAATATATTTCCCAGTGCAATATATTTACAGTGACCACCCAAAGTATCCCCATTAAATGCAAAATCTCCTTTCCTAACCACCTTTCCTTGACCTCGATGGAAAACGTCATGAGGTCAAGGAAAGATGTGAAGGAGAATTCAAAAGGAAAAGAGGACTCAGAGAATCAGACGACGTAATTATGCGACATGACCTGCAGTCATAAAACTACAAATTCAGAAGATGGACTACAAAAAGCGCATCTCTGAGACTGCACCCCGTGTTATTTTAAATCAGGCCATCTAAAGGTGGAATATATAGTAGGCCTACTTCATAATCAAGATAGCAAAAAGGCCTACCAGTCACGAAATAATGGGAAGGGTTCTCACATTGAGAATGCTTGCTCACACTCACCCTCCTGCCCACCCATATTTATCAACATGAATCCCAGTTATTGTTTTGTGTTTCCCACAAAATGACGGCGCAACTGTGGGCTCAGAGAGAGAGAGGTGGTTGCTGAGTGAATATATGCGCTGCCCATTTTAGATAGGCTAGTAAGAAAACGCAGTCAGCTGACCGCCACAAATAAATCAGTGTGTGAGAAACACTGAAATTATACATTGGGCCTATATTTAGGCCTACTGTAGAGGTCATCCAGCTGGATCACTGCCTTTATTAAGGAGGGGGTGTCAGCATCTGTGACTGAAGTAAAATCAATTAATGATATTGCTGAAGGCTGGAAATACATAACTAGTAACACAGCTGGCATGGGTCTCAAGACATATGTAGGCTATATTAGGGAGTTATGGCATAAGAGAGAAAGGGCTTAATAGCCAATGGCAACTTGATCAACACCCTAATCCGTCCTTGGTCGGTGATTTCTCTTTTTTATCATTGTAGAAAACACTTTATTGCATTTTTCAACCACCTGAAACATAAAACTGTGTTAAAACAGGATCAGATTACAGAAAAGCCTAAAGAAAACAAACAAAAAGAAAGAAGGAAATTGTAAGAGTCTTATTCAAGTATCATAATGTGCGTCTGTATTGCAAGGATTTTGCGTGGTCAATGGATTTTATCGTTTCAGTTTGAGAACGTGCGTCTCTGTAAATGTTGCGGCTGCAAGGAATTGTGGGACGTTTCTCTCCTTTCCTTTCGTAAAGGACGATCCGGTGTAGCCTATGCTAAAGGAGATGTGGAGGGAAGCACTGAGACACATTTCTTATCTTTTAGATAATTCGACCAGCTCTTATCTTGGCTGCCACTGCGTCCAGAACACTCAGTTAGGAAACTTCCTAAGCAAAAAAGACTTTTCGGACGCAGACTGACTGGTCTGTCTAAATCCTTCCCTCAGCGTAGCGTCTATTTCTTCTCATTATATGTCTGTAATGTCCAAGAACCTCTTTGCCGCGGCCATCACCATCTTGATCCTTTCCGACTTGCTCTGAATTTCCACAGCACAATTAACCACCACAGCAATAAATGCCAGGAATCGCTTCTTGTCCATGCATTTCATATTCTGATCACCTCCCTTTTTTTCGGCTCCTGTTCCTTTTGCACTGGTGCTCGTTCCAGCTTTCTTTCCAGTCTCTTGGTAGCTTCGGCGTATGTTACACCCTCTTCTGCTCTGATTTTACTCACTTTTATTTGTTTTATTTGTCTGGACATTGTACAGGCCCCGCATGGTGATTTCACGCACAATTCTTTTTCCTACATCTCCTGGCTCCTCTGCATACAGCTGATACATAATCCTGACAACAGGAGCACCTTAATGGAGCTCTTTCACAAGTCCTCACATTGTAGCATATGTAGTCTAAATATACCCTCTGGCAAATCTCCCTCAAAAGTCAATTACACAGAATTACTTTGCTCCCTTTCTTCCTGACCGAAAACACTTCCGCTCCGATTTCTTCAGAATAAAAGCATCATCTACTCTGATTTGAGAGTGTCTCGACTCACTGGTAAGGGCCTCTGTGGGCCTTTACCCATAAACCTTCAGAATTTACCTTACTTATGCGAATCAAGTTAAAGTACAAGTCTGCGGGAACTCGAGATCTTCAGCAATAACTCCATAGTTGAAACAACAATTAGATAACATCAAATGTCATCAATCCCAGGAGGGATTTTTAGCATTACAGCAGCACGAAAATAAGACCAGAGAGGTTGATAGGAACACGTCCTCCTTTTGACAGTACTATTTATATAAGCTTTAGTGCATGAGTAAATATAAAATGTATTTAATAATCGTTTTCCACAATTTTATTCTGAAGGGCAGATTCCTTAACCGGAAATATTTTCACCAGAACACAACTCGATTTCCGGTAAATTAACTTTTGGTTTTCAGAATAAATAAAACGCGCAGACCGTCCAAATATCAAGAGCTTATGGACTCGAAAACTGGTTAAAATGAATCCTTTAATTTAGGAGGTGGTAAAGGTGGTTTCGGTAAAAAGTGGAAAGGTATGTCTGGTTATTGACTTCTAATTTCTCCCTTCAAATAACTCAGATCTTACCAAAGTTTGTTCCTGGAGTCATGGTATAAAAGTAATGTTTGCGTATCATCATAAACACATGAGAAAGAAAAATAGAAATATCATCATCTCATGCACCAACAAAAAAAAACAGATTTTTTTTTTCAGTTTATTAAAAAGATTCAGTCTACAGTAGTTCAGATTTTGGCACCAACAATATTAAAACAAGTTAATCAAAAATAAAGTGTACACCCCAAAAAAGCTTTGAACAAAATGCCTGAATAAAAAAAAGGGATAAATAAAAGAAATGAATAAAAACAAAATACAAACACTGATGTAATTAAAATGCATTTCACATGGAAATAATGGTGAATTTTCCAATCCATTTTTCAAATTACATAACTTTTGGTCAGGACGCTTTTGCATTATAGCGTTTTAGAGGTGCATTATACCTTATATAGTTTAAAAAAAAATAAAAAAAACACACCGACATTACAGATCAGATCATCACATCTACATGGTGACTTCAAAAGCCTGTACTGTAATAATAGCAAGGCAATTTTTTAATAGCAACTTAAAAGTAACAGTGCTTATCTTTTTAAGGAAGGTTCGTTGTTTTGAATTTGTGGTTATTCAAAGACAAATCTCATTGAGCTGTTGCTCTGCTCATCAAATTAACTCATTACAAAGCATACTGAGTCAACTGTCAAATCAATTTTATTTAAATCTGACTGTCATGTCCGTTTAGGTCAGTCAAGCTGAGACAGGAAATATAAAAGTTGTTGTTGGAAACAATGGAAATACTGTATGGCTTTGGAATTCCTTTTGCAATAAACTCACACTCTCCTCTATTGGACATGTCTAAGGAGCCAAAAGTTATTATCAGACACATTTGAAGTGGTGGTGTGTTTTGTCTTGGTCAAAGCAAGAAAATTGGCATGGAATGTTTTAATCAAAATAAAAGCCTCAATGCAACAGTAAAAATACACAACAATACTGCATCTGGTGTGTGTATGTGTATGTGTGTGTGTGTGTGTCTCAACAGTATGTTTGGGTTAGGCAGGTTTGAGGTGAAAAAGCAGCAGGATTTGTGTTCTGATGTCAAAAATTCATTGATTGAAGAAATCCTTGTTTCTATTGAAGAAGAAAGGATCACAACCAACGTGAAAAGTTGGACAGATCTTTGAAAAGAGAAACAGAGGTTGGTGTATAAAAGTCTTTTTAAAAAGGCACTTAAATTTGGCGAGGGGAAAGCCTTTAAGGGACAGATCTGATGGAAATGTCTTCCTGTGAATGAAAACAGGAGGAGGCTTTTTTATTGAAGTGGCAGCGATGCTGGAAGGAGTCTCACTTCTTCAGCCTCCTTTAATTATACCCCTCCTTGCTTCTCTACTCCGAGGTGCTGTCAGCATCTGCAAGCAACTCTGGCCTCAAGCATTCAATCGGACACTGGATGTTCTAGAGGGCAGAGAGGGGCAGGGCAAGAAGAGAAGGGAAGAGAGAAGAGCAGATGTTGTAATTTATTAGTATTGACTGGATTTGTACCAACATCCTCTACATAATGAGTAATTACAAATCACCAAAAGATACTGAATTTAATACTTAATCATTTCATATTGGGTTTAATTGAAACAAACTAAGTTGTTAGAGTATGTTTACAATGTGTAAATAACTGAATAAATAACAGTAGTAGAAAAGTAAAGTAGTAAGTAAAACTTAAAGTGAGACACTGACCAGTTTGCGTAGAGCGTTTTCTCTGTACCGGTCGAAGGCATCTGAACGAACAGGTTGAAGGAGGTCAGCTTCCAAATCTGTATGTCCTCCGGGTCTTCTGCAGTTCTCACAACGCCAGCCCTAAAGGGAGGGAGAAGGAGAGGTTAATGTATGCACACATCTGAACACACACACACAGAAGATAGATAATTTGTACTTTTTAACATTATCCATAAAGCAGCAGGGCATAGGTTTGTATGTCCACACACACACACACACACACACACACAGTTTTACGCACCTGTTGTCCTCCATAGCAGGTACAGGTACAGATAGCGCCCAGGTATTCCTTCTGCCACTGGTTTCCCACCTGGTACATTTTCCCATCATCGTAACATGTGGACTCGTCTGGAGGGAGAGAGTCAAAGATAAAATCTTTTATTTTAAATTTTGTATTTTTCTCAATTTAATTGCATAGCTATGAATGTAAGGCAGTATCTGGTGCACATGAGATAGTATCTAGTGTGCATGAGATACGTTCTAGTGAGAAATGTTTATTTATTTATTTATTTTTGCCCATGTCCCCTATTGGCTCTGTACAATGGATTATCCAAGAAATTTATTAAAAGAACAAGTAATAAAACATCTACCTAGAAATATTTAATACTTGTACTTACGGGGTTCACATTTGAATTCTCCCTTGCCATTGCCCAGACAAGTGCAGCTCATCATGTGACCGTTCTCAGCGCGGCGATCCCACTTCTCACCGACGCGGTAGTTATTACCGTTGTCATGACACCACTCTGAAGCACAGCAGAGAAGTAGAGAAAGAGAAAGAGATAGAAAGCAAAAGAGAGGATAAAGGGAGTGAGAAGGGAAATGCATGAGGGTGGCATGGAGAAGGAGGATGGTTGAATGAAAGTATGGAGGAAGGAGAGTGAAGTGGATACATGAGAGAAGTTCATGAGTTAAATTAAAGAGCAGTCAAAACAAAAATTTAAAAGATCAAACTTTTCCTCTTCATGCTGGAGATTCACAGCATTCACAGATACTGATTTTCTTCAAACAACATGTGATGGCATCCTTTGGATTAGAGGGCCTGAGTGAGTTTTACTTGTTCCCAGTTTAATATACGCATTGTCCCTGTGGAGACACGACATGACTTTCAATCTATGGCGGATGGACGCTGATCTCAGTTTCTGGTATTGTCGTGTTAGCTATATAGACAATACAAATAACTGAGACTGATGCTGGCCAGTTAGTTTAGCTTAGCTTTCTGCACTCTTAATGTGATGTTTCACAGTTTACAGAGGCAGAGCAGAGAGACCAACATGGGCAGACTACAGACAGACTCGTGCATAGTAAAGAAATTATTATCACGATTGCAGCCGTTTGCTGTAAATGAGTGCCAAGGCTGCCCATGCCGTCATTTTATTACTGCGTGTTGCTGCACATAGAACAAACTGTTCAATTCTATGGCTTCTGATCTGTAGCTAAGGAATTTATATATATATATATATACATATACACACGTTATAATTTCCTCTTATAAATTGCACTGGAGTTAACCACATAGAATTATTAGATTTCTAATTCCATGGTGTGTTTGCAAAGCATGCTGGGATGGGGTTATTAAGCCACTCACTGGATGAATCACACCTAAAATGACCACTTCCCAGCCCCAGGCAGCGGCACCACAGCTTGAAGCCCGTCTCAGACATGCGCTCCCATTCTGAGCCCACCTCATGGTAGGTTTGTGTGAATGTGTCGTAACACACGTCCCGGTTGGTGGTGATGGGGATGTCACCTGGAACTAAGGGATGGAGAAAAAAATGTTTACAATAGAACCAACTGATGAGATTTAACTTGTCCTAATTTGTTATGACAGAGAAACACAGATGGTACACAAAATATGCTCTATCATTTCATTTAAATGGTATATTTATCAAATTATTAACATTAAAACATTACCAGCATTGCCAACGGTTATGACTTCCTCTAAAACCTTCTCTTTAGCCCCGTCCCTCATGGCCTCGACTATCACGTTGTAGGAAGCTCCGGATGTCAATCCAATTAGCGTGGCACTGTTGGAGCTGCCAGGAAGACGCATCTATATGGACGAAGAGAAAGTTAATAAATGGTCCTTACATCTCCAGCAGTTAATATGCGCATGCGTGACTATGTGTGTATATACCTGGAAACCCCTTTCCTCCAGGTGTGTAATAGGATTACAGGACACCTCATACTCTGACGTCTGAGGAACGGGTTGCCAGGAGATGGTTGTGATCGTCTGTGCTTCTTGGGGCAACTCTGTTTCGTTGTCAGGGAAACCAAACGCAAGACCTGGCAGAGGACCGTCACTCACCTACAGGATCAAACATACAGTAAAGAGATAATGTGAGGTCAGAAAAATCACTTGGTATGTTAAAATATACGCTAAGGATCGATAACTTGTGCTTTAGCAACCATGTTGTTTAACTTCTGTTCAAGTTCTTATTATTAAAACTACTGTACATATCTTAACCATAGACCTTTTTTATGATATAAACAAGGACAGTTAAAGTTATACGTTGTAATTTGTTACAAAACTGTGATTTCAAGTCAGAGTTTTTTCTTTAAACCAGTTTCATGTGGCTTATTGTCAGACAGACAGAGATAATTCAAGTCTCACACACCCTGACCAAGGGTATTCTGTTTCCATCAGGGCCTGCTACAGGAATGTAGACCAGAGGTTCTCTGAGAGTCGGTCTCTGGCCTTCTTTGAGTCCACCATATGGACCATGAAGTCCGTTATTAGGGCCTAGGCTCTGGTACTCTGTATAGATGTGCTGGCCCTGCTGACCTGGTTGTTTCTGGCCACTAGTACCAGACAGGTGAACATGGTTCGAGTCGAAACTGGACACAGGGAGAGACAGGGATGAGAAAGAATAAGAACGAGAGATGCGAATGAGAAAATGTGAAGATCAATGTGTCACTGCACAGACATTTGAGGTGCTTTTAGTCTTGCATGCTTGTGCTTAATTAATGATTTCAGTATGATGATGCAGGTTTCATACATCCTGTCATTGAAGGTATCTGGAACATCCAGGATGTCAGTTCTGGGTTGGTGAGGAACAGGAAGCGGTGGTAATTCGGGGACCAGTAGCGGATCTATCGCTGGCTCTGATTGGACAAGAGACATATTTATACTAGCCGTCACAAGCAAACAAGGCAAAGCAAATGCACAGATCCACTAACAGGTTTTTGAGCAGGTAAAAACACAAGATTTCCACTGTGCTCCTTAAACAACAGGGAACCCACTAACCTACCCATCTCTGATACTGCCGTACACAGAGAAAAACAGTAAATTATCAAATTAATTTAAATAATGGAGGTGTCCCTGAGAAAGACACTTAACCCCTAGTTGCTCCAGAGGCGTGTGACCTCTGACATAAATAGCAATTGTAAGTCGCTTTGGATAAAAGCATCAGCTAAATGAATAAATGTAAATGTAATGTAAATAGGAACAACAAAATAAGATTTTAAAGGTGAACGTGCATCTGATGGATCTATACAATTTGTGGCTAACACAGACTGATGTGGGGTAAGGTTTGTATTTGATCCCAGTTTATGTTATAGTTGGAACCTGGTTAGTTGTATTGATGTAAAAGGCCTTCTTAGGTGCTTTATATCAAAATGTTTTGAGAGATGTGTGTAGATGTATTGTTTTTCCCATGAGGGAATCCAGTGTTAGTATGGAATAATAATATAAATGACAATAAATTTCAAGGGCTTTATTCTGTAGTTTCTGCTTTACCAGCAGTTAGAGCATGAAGCCAGAAGAGGGCGTCACACCATAGCGCTCAAAACATATAGCAATAGTTATATGTAGCAGTTGGCTTAAATTTCTGATGTAATTTCACCTAATTAGGGCAATTCTTGGCACAATTCCTGAAAGTGGGTAGAATAAAAAGAGCCCATAATGTTTTATTTTATATTATAACACTTTTGTGGCAATACTTAAGAGAAGCTAGTTTTATTCTTCAACCAGTGGTATGTAATACCTTCAGAATATGATCATTTAAGCCAAATGGATGATAAGGATATACAGTATTATCAAATGTTTAATGCCTTGTTTCTCCAAAAATGACAGAAAAAGGTAGAACAGAAATTGCCTTTTGACATTGTCACAATGTCTTAACATTGTGACATTAGAGCAATCTCCACCTTGACAAAAGAAAAAAAGTCTAAATTCAAGATCCATAGTTTGCACAGGCTATTTATGCTAGCATATGATGGCTGTACTTACGTGTTCTGGCTTTGCCTACTAGAGGTATGCTTCTCAAAGCACCCTGCAGGGCCACAATTTTAATGACATACTCAGTCCCTGGTTTCAGACCTATGACCAAACAACAAATACACAAAAAGTTAAGATTATTTGCCAAATTTTTTTATCAATGTACTTGCATGTATGTTATACTTGTATGTTTGCCGTAAATCTCTTGCTCCACACTCACCATTGATAATGGTGTAGATCTGGCTTGCGTGGGGTCTGGGGATAACTTCATGAGGCAAACCCCCGGCTTCCTCATAGGTGACATAATACCCAGTAACCCCTGGACTGCGTGATGGCTCCCAGGTGAAAGAGATGCTGTCAGGGTTCAGGGAGGTGAAGCGGATATTGGTGGGTGGGATGAGCACCGGTTTGGCTGGAAGAGACAGACAAGCAAGTAAGTACTCAAAAAAACTCATTAAATACTTGCTATTTTGAGTAACATGTTTGGTAAACAACTAAAGGGGGTAAAAATGTTATAAATTATTATAATAAATATTTCATCACATTAAAGATGAGCAAGATTAATGGTTACCTGTGGTGGCGGTCAGAGTGAAAGGTGCACTGCGTCCATTCCCTTTCAATGTATAGATGCTGATCTTGTAATTGGTGCCTGGCTCCAGACCTGAAGGGAAGACAGAGAGAGAGATTAGTGAGGGACTGGTGTGTAGTAATACTAACAATCTGATGTTGTGATTGAATTATATTATACACAGTTTTACATTATTCTTATAACTGTGGGTTTACACTACATATTTGTGTATCTAAATGCTTGCAAATTCAATATTTGTGTACCTGTAATAGTGTATGAGCGTGAGTCAGCATCAATGGTCTTTTGAATTGGTACGTAGCCTGAAGAAGAGGAGGTGGGTGTGGCCTCAACCAGGAAGCCAGAGATGATTTCTGTCTTGGAGCGCCAGCTCAGAGTGATGGAAGAGTCGTTAACATCAGAGATACGTACACGACGAGGGGGGCTGATATCTTTAGGGTTGACGAGGAAAGAAAGAGAAAGTAAGGGAGAGAAGGAACAAAACCGTACAGCACAAGAACTGTCTGCAACAAAGTTAATGTAACAAGAATGCCATCTCTCCGTTATCGTGTATCAAGTATTTATCAAAATGTATGAGTTAGAAACTCACTCTCCAGAGTGGTGACCTCTCCTTTGACTGGCCTGCTGGTTAGAGAGTTTTTCAAGGCATAAACATGGACTTCATAGGTAGTTGCAACCTGAGTGAGATGGAGAAAAAGAGATTATATATCATTATACCGGTTGTGGCTACAATCAGTAGGTCTGTTTGTGCATGTTTATGCATGTGTACCCACTAAGCAAGTGCACAGTGTGTATGTCCAGTGTGCTAAAGCTGAGGCCAGAACTTTCCAGTAGGTCAACATAAGATATAAAAATCAACTTCCTTATTCAGAAAATTTATCATTACTATATAATCTGTCAGTGAACACGGCACAATGTCTTAGTTCTGCTATTGTTGCAAGCTACTTTAGATCCAAGAAGGGACAGCATTCACTGCGATGGACATCTCTGCAAGTCCATTTTCATACTCTAGCAACATAAATGACAACAACTAACAACTAAATTGCTGTTAATGTAGAGGTCAGCGTATTCATTAAAAAAGAACACAAACACACACACTCACCATGAGTCCAGAGATGTGTGCCTGTGTGGCGTCTGGGGCCAAGTTCATCTCCTTGGTAGGGCCGCTCTTGTCCTTCGGATTCACCACCACACGGTAGCCTGTGAGGCCTGTTAACCCAGTTAGTCGGTTTTCCTGACCCGGCATAGACCAGCGCATTGTGAAAGAGGTAGGGGTAACCTGGGAGAACTGGAGGTTGGTGGGGGATGAGATGGCTGGGGGGAGGAAATGAAAGGGGGGTTAGAAGGAGACAGTACCGACATTATGGAAAGAGCAAGACGCTCATCAAAAACTGTAAAGTACAGAATAAAGGATTTTAGACCTTTATACATAATCTGCTTTGTTTTTGAACTTTATCTTTCGCTTTTTCTTGTCTCTACCATATTCTTTACATCCAAAATATAACATCTAGAACTAATTTCCTTCCATACCTGTGGCTTGTGTCCCAACCAGTGGTGTGCTGGCTGTGTCATCATGCAGAGCGATGACCTTTACAGTGTACTCAGTGCCAGGTTGCAGACCATAGATAACAGTGGACTCAGCATCTGCTCTGGGAGCGGGGCGCAGCTCTCTCTCACCCTCCTCTGGACTTGAATACAAGACCCGGTAAGATGTAACAATTCCCTCAGGACTGTCCCAGGTGATTTTCAGTGAGGTGGAGTCGACGTCTGAGAAGGTCAGGTCCTTGGGATGGTCTACATCTAAAGGTGATGAGAGCAGAGAGAAGGGTGGCAAGGTAGTGGGGTTGGAGAAATAGGGGGAGGGTTCAGGAGGTTATTTTTCAATTTGTAAAAGTTTCCCGGTCAATATTTCACAAATCTCTCTCTAGAAAGTGTAAACACTTACTTGTTAAAGCATTCACTACCAATGGAGAGCTCTCTCCATCTTGTCCAAGAGCGTAAACACTCAAAACATACTCTACTGTGGGCATCAGTCCTGAGAAAGTAATCTCTGTCTGGTCTGGAGAAGAGAAGGAAAACGATACAAAAACATCATAGATTAGAGTTTAATAAACTGAGTAGCCAGGAACAAGTGTATAGCTAGTAACTGAAAGTTTGGTCAAACAACATACCTGGAGCCACCACCTCCGTGAAAGACGGTCCCTGTCCATTTCTGGGGACCCCAGTCACCCTGTATCCCTTGATTGGGCCTTGGGCAGGGCTCCACCTCACTGTGACACTCTTGTCATTCACTTCCATGACCTCCATTTCAGAGGGAGAGTCGACGCCTAGGAGAAGAAGACAGAGAGATGAAGAGGAGAAAGCTATGAGTGGAAACAGAGGGGCAGTCACTAAAAACTGGTGACTGTGTTTTGCCGCTGGCAGTGTGTGTGTGTGTTTGTGTACCTGTCATGTGTGTGACATAGATTGGTGTGCTGGATGCAGGGCTGTCTCCTCTACCAGTCACAGCGTAGACAGTGACAGTGTATTCAGTACCAGGCTTCAGGTTATTGATTGTGGCAGTGGACTGAGAGCCAGGCACTGTGAACTCCTTAGGATTACTGTGACCTCCTGGTTTATGATTAAAGACAATGTGATAAATGTTAGAGGAACCAATGCTTGAATAATCAAGAGACTGATGAACAGATACAGTGAGCGGAATATTCTCTGGAAAATGGAAAGAGCTGACTGGTCATCACTTTTTTGTTTTGTTTTTTCTCTTTTAGCAATTTCCAAATGCAACATTTACACAAATCAAAGTTTCTTGGTTAAAAAATCCCCAATTCTGATTAAATCAAATCAGTATCTTAAGCCATTATTACTAGCTCACCGGACTCTCCATGAGTGATCCTGTAGTACCGCACGGTGACAGGTGGTGCGTCCCAGCGGACAGTGATGCTGGTGGGGGAGGAGTCTAGCACTTCCAGGTCTGTGGGAGCGTCAGAGACTGGAGACAGAGTAAAAAGCCAAATAAATAAACAACATGATGATGATAACATCAATAAGTAGAAGAAATCAGGTATTAAATCAGGATTTCATACTTGTCTTCTGTTTCCCACTGAGCGGCAGGCTCTCTTGTGTCCCGCTCACTGCAAATATGTTGACCAAGTACTCTGTGTCTGGTGTGAGGCCGGTCAGGGTGAAGTGGTTCCTGGAGGGGGGCAGCCTCTCATCCTTGGCCCTCCCGCCGCTGACCATCTGGTAACGGATACGGTATCCAGTGATTTTGCTCTGTGGAGCGAGCCAGTGGATGGTGAAGGAGTTGGTGAAGACCTCAGAGAAACGCAGGCCAACTGGTGAATCCAGAGCTGAAGAAGGTTGGGAGAAATATGAATGGATACATGAAGGTCAGGGAGAAAAAAAAATCTAAAACCTGAATACTAAAATGTATAGAATCTGTGTCCTGAAAACAAAGCTTATTTGTTTTATGTATTTCTGGACTGATATACTGTTGTTGTTAAATTAGATGAGGTAAGACTCACTTGTTTTCTGGGTGCCGACGAGGGGCGAGCTCTCTCTCTGCTCATAAACACACACCACGCTCACCAGATATTCTGTATTAGGCAGCAAGTCTGTGGACGGTGAAAAAGACATAAATACAAATTGTAGTCATTTGTGTGTCTGTGTGTTGTTGTGTATTCTTTGTTGTCGCTGTAACTTACTCCTTAGCACCACATTGTTAATCCTGCTTCCTACGCTGGTTTCTGTACTGTCATCTTCATCGTCAATGGGGTGATACCTGAATAATAAAGACACCAACAACACAGACTCATTTTCTGTTATGTTTTAACATGTGGTTATTCAAAAATCAGTGTGTATTCAAGAAAAAAAAATGTATGTTTCTTCTTGTACCTAATGAGGAAGTTGTTGATATCAGCAGTGTTGGGGACCCGGGGAGAGAGCCAGGTGATTTCCATAGTGTCTGGCCCGACCTTGCTGAAGCCCAAATCCGTCGGGGCTGGTACAGCTATTGAAAAGAGAGAGCAGATTGACTTAAAAACGTATTCAAAAAGGTCACAGTAGTTCTGTAATAATATAAGAAAGAGTGAGGAGGCAAATAGATGTGAAAAAAGGGAAACAACTAAACAATGAAATGACTAAAAGAGAAAAGTATTCCTGCTGCCATCTTTTAAAGGGAACAATCTGTGTTTTATATGTGTGTGTGTGTGTCAGTGTAAAGCCATGTCTGAAGGTTTACGACATCTTAAAAGTGAGAACAAGCAGTGTTTGCATTGGGGGGCAAAATGAGTCTCAGTATGGTAAAAGCCCCTGAACTAAAACCAGATGGTCCACACGCACACACACACACACACACACACAGAGGATTATTAAACTGACAAACAGCATGCAGTGCAATTACATCAACAACTTAAAAGGTTTGCTTTGAAGAGCTATGTCTTAGGGTTATTAAGAACCTTATTACGTTATATAATCTCAGCAGACACAGTGATTTGAAACTCCCTCGCAGGCAACACAAATCACACCATCTATCTATATAAAAAGATACTTTTGACGGTTTTGTATCATTATTTATAACTGAATTGCTCTTTCAATAAAAAAATGTATGTACTGTTAATGATATTTGTAGTAAAGGAAATATTTTTGGTTGCGTGGGAACATGGATCTTACAGGTCTGCTGAGTGACTGTGGTGGGCTCGCTCTCGCCATTCTCCGTCACAGTGATCACACTAATCTCATAATCGATACCAGGTTCCAGCCCGTAGACAGTATATTGACCAGTCGTTGGCATAACCATGTCTTCAAAGATGGGCACACTCTCGCCGGCTGCCACCACAGTGATCCTGTAACCAGTGATGGCTGTGGCGTTGAGCGGCGACCAGCGGAGGCTGATACTGGTGTCGCTCACATCCCTGAAGCTGAGGTCCGTCAGCTGTGGGATGTCTGGGTAGGTGGAGAGAGGAAAAAAAGAGAGAAGACAACAGAAGCACCAAACAAACGAGGGGCAAAGGTGGAAGGAAAGGGAAGGGGATAGACACGAGGGTCAGAAAGAGGAAACCGACAGACAAAAAGACAGGAGCAGTGGTCAAGACAAGCAACAAAAATTGTTTTCTTCCAGTCGGGCGAGATATTCAACATATCACACCAATGGAACAGCTAAAGCAAGGCTGCCTTTACTAGTATATATTACCATCTAGTGAGGTTCAACTGTTATTCAATGAAGTGTCTCCATTGAAATCTATTAATATATACACAGGCAATGGTAGCATTAGTGTTAGTCCCACGGCTAAATTAGAGCTGTGATCCTTACAGAGAAGAGCTAGTATCTGTTATATGTTGAAAGCAAATGTGTCATTTATTTTAGTAACTTTCAACATAATATGTTAATTTAAAATTGGGGCTTCTGTAAATGAAAGTTTGCTCTTACCTGTCTACACAACCCTAACAAAATGATCATAAAAAATCAGGCCAGACTCGTGTTGAACATACATACCTCATGGTCTCAAAAACCCCAATAAAACCACATGATTATGAGCTTGCCTCTCACTCACCTGGTGTAATGGTAGTTGATATAGGAACGCTCTCCATATCATCCTTGACAGTAACAACACTGATGTTGTACTCCACTCCTGGACTGAGGTTCTCCAGGATGCAGGAGTTCTGCCCTGCTTCCACAAACTCCTCCACACTGTTTCCTTGCTGGCCATTGGTGGGAGTGCATGTCACTCTGTAGCCAGTGATGTCTTGCAGGGAGAGAGTTGGAGAAGGAAAAGGGAAGAAGGATTACATGGGGTGGGTAATCAGAGTAAGAAACCAGTTAAGAATGTATCAGCGAGCAATAATAGGTTGCTGAGATAAGATGCCTAAACAGAATGATATTTTCACATGGCAATTCAATGCATTTTGAAAATGTCCTAGTAAAGAGAGAGAAGAGACTGTAGCTCACTGACAGATGGATACATGTGAACAAAAGGAGATAAATCTCTGACCAATTTCATCAAAAGGATACATAATTGAGTGATACTTTTAACCCAATTCAATGATTATTTGTAATGTATTCAGTGTCTTTTTATCTGGGTATACAGATGTGTGTGGGTACCTGGTGTATTAGCCCCATTCCATTGAACTGTTAGGTCTCCTGTGCCTGGGTTAGACTCCAGGTTGAGATCAGTGGGAGGAGACAGAGCTGGAGACGAAGAAGAAAAAGAGGAGTCAGAGGAGGAGGAAAGGAATAAGAGTAAAAGACAGATAGAGAGGAGGCATTGGAAGAACAAAGAAAACACTAGACATTAAAAGGAAAAGGAAAAGACAAGACTAAAAGGTGACACAGTCAGTATTTATTAGTTTATTCTTACGTGTGACAACACGGTGTGTGATTGGGGTTCCCTGCTCATGGCCGTTTATGACTGGCTGGATGCTGTAGGTGTACTCCACTCCCGGAGTTAGACCAGAAACGTAAATACTTCCCGAGTCAGAGGTCACGTCTCTGGGAGCTTCTCCGCCCTGACTGGGACGTACTGTCAACTGAAAGATAAATACTCAGTTAGAAAGAGGGATATGGACTGGGGGTACAGGAGGTAAAGGTCAGATGTCAGTGTCTTCCCATGAACATGAAAGCCAGCAGAACATTCTCATCTCTGGTGTGATATATTCTGACTAATCAGGTTTATCCCTGAGGTCTGTAGCTCCCATGTTATCTAACCCCAAGTGGGCCCTACACTGCACCAGAAGAACAACTGGATTGTGTTTTCCACAGCATACAGAAGGAAATAATTTGCATGTAAAGACAATCATGCTATCAATTTTAAAGGACAGAATGGGAAACATGGTCAGATTTATGGATATGTGGGTAGCAGGCTATAAAAACACTTGTTACGTATGTATGTATTAGAAGTGAGTGTACCTTGTATCCAATGTGGGGAACTGGAGTCCAGGAGATTATAATGGACGTGTCCGTCACATCCGTGCTGAAATGAGGAGCGTTGCCCATTGCCGGGCCTACAAACACACAGAGAGTAAAAGTGCTTTTCTGATCAGCTTTTGTGTAATGGCATGCAAGACGATGTATGCATCCCCCAGTGTGTTCATTTACAAAAGTGCATGCATAATCAGAAGATTGCGCCTACAGTATCTTTCCCCCCAAACGTAACTTCCCTTGTCACTGTGTCAGTACTCATTTTTATATGTACCAGACACTTACTAGTAGTAAATACAGCTGTCTCTCCTTCACTCAGTGTTGTCTCTTTCTCTGCATGTAGCGTAGCAGTGTACTCTGTATCGGGCTTCAGGTTGAGGAGGGTGTACTGAGTAAGGCGGGCAGGCAAGCGCAGCTGCTTAGGGTTGGAGCCCTCAACGGAGAGGAGGAGACGGTAGCCAGAGATTTTGGCACGGGGGGCATACCACAACATCACAGCACTGTCCTCTGTCACATTGGCGAAATGGATATCTGTGGGAGCATCAGGCTCTAAAAAGAGATATGTCAATAAACACTGTTAGACACAGATAGACAATAGATTATTTTCCAAAGCACACCAAATGTTTCTGCACAGCATTCCAACCTTCCACCGAGAAGCTAGTGTCAATTCATTTCAGTGTGGTTTCAAAATCAATTTGCATTTTTGTGTGTGTAGTGATTTCCTTGTAGGCATGAGGCCATTTGTCATACTCACTTGTAGTTTGCTCCCCAATAAGCGGTAAACTTTCCTGCCCATTGTGAATGGTATAGATACTGAAGCGGTACAGTGTTCCAGGCTGTAGCTGTGACACTTCATGTAGGAGTTTTGACTGACAGGCAGAGTCATCTCCCTCTGTGGAGTACCAGACTCATCAACTGGGATGGCGGTGACCCGGTAACCTGAGACTTCACTGGCTGGGCTAGTCCAGGTCAGAACGATTTTTTTATCTGACACCTGGAAGAACTGCAAGTCTGTAGGAGAAGCCACTTCATCTGTGGACAGGAAAAAAACAACAACATAGCATTAAGCATTGTGAGAGAACTTGGCTGACATTTGGTTACATTTATTTTAATGAATAAAAACAAATGGCATCCCGTTCATTCCAAAGAATGTTGCTCATCAAGTGCATGTGTGTACCCATAATGCATCAGCATTAATGTCGTTCCCTTTCTCCAGCTTAAGGAAAAATGCATCCGAGAAGATTTATATCAGTGCTGAGTATGGCTAAATCCCAACTATAATGACAACTGTCCTCTCAGTGAATAACTGAATGAGTCTTATGCAGCTGTTAGAAATGAAGTGGGTGAATGCATGGAGAAACATGTTATTTATGGCGGAAGGACCCATAACAACCCATCGCAGCAATCCAAAATGTAAGCTTACATAAGGCATGTCGTTTGGATCCTGTAAGGACTATGTCTCGCGCAAGGATATAAGTCACATTTTAAGTCCTTTACTATGTAAGAAATAAATTGATTACTAACTTAAAACAGAAAATAAAGTGGAAAACACATCAGGTCACATTCTAAATATTATCTGCTAAACAAGGGAAGGTCAAATACAGCTTAAAATAATTCCATGACCCCATGGCTGTTATTTAACTAACTATGATGTTTTGCTTTTATGTTGCATATCATCCAAACACACATTGGCTTATACATACATAATGACATTAAGTGTGCAACCATGTCTACAGAATTCCTGCAAACAAGGAGCCAATCCATCACACTGCTTCATATTTTGGATGATGAAACAAACATAAACCAGAAGACCTCTTTGCCTTGTGAAGGCAAGAGATTAAATAAGAGAACAAGATGGAGAGCGAGAGGAGATGGCAGCAGACACTCTCAGCTTGGTCAAATATATTTATTATACACTTTTCCAGCATCTGCTCGACTGGCCCAACAGCATGTTCAACCTGGCAGACAGACGTTTTACATAACCCCAGTTGAGCAGAGTGCAACAGCTGTGAACTCAATGACTTAATTTTCCATTGGAGAGCTCGTCATTTCTACTAGTCAGAATTGGAAACATCTAAATAAATCGCTGAATAGGCCACAGGATGACTTGCAGGTTGATTCTGGAGGGTGCTCTTATAACAAGAGTATTAACTCAAATTCATATGAACATCCAGCAGAGCAAGGATCAAATGATATTTAAGGATCACAACCACCAAATATTTGGTCACTGCACATCAACTCGTGGTGCTAAACAGAAAAAGAAACAGGATTTACCATAGCTTAATAATCTCTACATCTTTTACCTGGTAGAGGATCTCCAGCGGTGTTGACCTGTATAAAGATAGGCTCACTCTCCAGGCTGTCCTCCACAGCGTAGATACTAATGTTGTACAAGTTCCCGGGTCGAAGGTCACTCAGAGTCACAGATGTTGCTGTGTCAGGGAGAGTCAGCTCCGTGCTTTCACCTTCTATTGACGGTGTGTAGACGACACGATAGCCTGCGCAGAGGAAGAGACCATACAGTTCATTGTTTGTAGCTAACCGTCACGAGTGAGTATAGGCAGGAACAGAACAGTGACAGATTTGGGCTGTGACTGACAACATTGTCATAGCATACCAGTGATTGGAGCCAGTGGTTTTTCCCAACTGATCACAATGGAAGTTTCTCCCACATCCTCCACTTCATGATCACTAGGAGCATCAGGTGCTATGGAACAAATGAGGTGAAATTATGAGAAGGAAAATTATAACCACTGCTTTTATCCTGGATCACTTGATTTGCAGTCCCTGGCATTTATTCATTTGCCGCTAGTAAGTCTGGGATTCAGAAAAACATTTTTGTGCAAGTGTTGTGCCTCTGATGAGAATGGGAAAGAATATCAGAGAAGAGAGATGGGAATATAAAATGATGGAGAAAGAGTGTACTAACCAGTGGTTTGTGAAGTAGTAAAAATTAGGTTGTCATCTCCACTATCTGTAACCTCATAGACATTAACAGTGTACTTCCTCCCAGGTAGAAGCTCATTAATGTTCACTGAGGTAGTTGTACGGGGCAGGTCTGTGGGGAAAATGTTGTATTAACACCTTAGTTTTCATTCATCTAAATATTTTAACGCAGCTAAATAAATACCTTTTCTTCTGTGACAGTATTGTCTTAGTAAAATATCCATTATTTTGAAATCAGGCCAAATTTCAATGCATAATAGTTTTGCCATAGCTATTTTTGTATGTATATGCATTCATGTTTGCACAAGTGCATATCTGCACTTACCTAGCACCATGGGTTGTCCAGTTGCCTGTCCCTGCTCACTGAGCTCATACTCTACTCTGAAACCAGAAACTGTGTCTGAGGCGGAAACCCAGGAGATGACAAAGCTGCTGGAGGTAATTTCAGTCACCGACTCTGAGATGTCGACCATAGGCGGAACTGGGGTGGTCTCGCCTTGTGATGGTGCCACTATAGGATAAACAGAGACAGACAGAGATGGAAAATATGAGCTGGCTACATGCTGCCTCTGAGAACAGAACACTGAACAGGACACTGTGGAAAAAATCTCAGTGAATACTTCCTAATTCAATAAAATAAAATTTAAGGAACCAAACTTAGTAGAAAAACAGCACAAAATATTGTGATTTCATGAAGTGCATGCACATTCCCATACCCCTGTCTTTAATAACATCTCTCGCCTAAACCGGCATGCGTGGAAAAAGTAGCCAAATTAACTGGACAACTGGTCGATACCATTGGTTAAACAGTGATGCGGCAACTAAACCAACACTGAGATCTGCCAGCTCCCTCAACTCACATGATCCATCATTAGTGGTGAAGTCAAAGCGTGTGATCTCTCTGCGTCCAAACCGCAACACGCTGATTAGCTGACCCTCGTAGGTGATGCCCGGCTTCAGCCCAGAGATGGTGTAGGTGTTAAGGTGGCCGGGGATTATGACCTCTCTCCATGGGCTTGAAGTGTTTTTCTGAAAAATGTGATAAAAGGAAATGCAGGAAATGTTACATATGTCAATAGAGACAGCGTCAACATCAGGTCCAGTGGAGAGATGAGGAAGAAGAGGGATTGTTTCTTTGTTAACTGTGATGCTCAGTAAGAAAACTCACCACTTTCCATTTCAGGATGTACTGGGTGATGTGAGCAGACTGTGGGGCATTCCACTGAATAGGGTGGGAGTTGGGTTGGTTTCCAGATTCTGATATGACCACCTGGACAGGACGATGACCACCTGAGAGAGAAAAAGAATAAAGACAGAGATGTAAGCAGTTATACAGAAAAGACCAGACCGGGAGTTTCACTGTCTAATCATCATAATGAGACATTATGCACATATTTAACAGTTAGGGGGGCATTTTCAAAGTTGTAAATATCAAATATCGTAATTATATCTCAACTTTGACAAGCAGACACTAAATCCAACATGGTGAGATTCTGGCTCTTCCACAATTTGAGGAATTTCAAAAACTTGCAGTTTTACATAACAGCAACTGATTATCAGGGAGGGTGGAGCAGCATTTTCCTGAACAGAACACAGGACAGAGTGAGGAAAAACTAGCACGTCCTTGTGAGATTCCAGCCTAGATTTCAACAGCTGGAGGGGAGAAAACTGTTACTCTCCTTTCTCTACTCTTTAACCTTCTCAATCTCATCATGTTTTCGAACCTTACTTGTTCTCTTGGAAAGACTAATTTTGCTGCAGCACTAGATAATTTGCAAAAGAAAGGTATGCTGAAACAACAAAAAAGCTTTGAAGTAATGAAGAAGTGTGTGAAAACCCCTCATGAAAGCAATACAGCAAAGGTCATAACAGAGAATCATGGGATTTATTGTGCTGGACAACCTTTTCAAGTCCTAGAAATGTGGGCTTTGATGCTCAACTGAACTCCTCGAGTCTTGCCAAACATCATGTAACAGCTGTTCCACGTCTACACACACACACGATTCCTTGGAAATCCTTGCGGTGGTGAGTTTTGTAGCAAACAGGAGCTCAGGCATGTGTGTGTTGTGTCATTACTACATCTAACACAACAAGAGATAAACTATATTGCAAAAAGTGGCGGTCTAAGCTAAAGCGTATCAATTTACCAGAAAATGCACGCAACAGGCAAGTTGAATATAAAAAGGCTTAGCAGGTTAGTAGATACTAAAGAAGAAAAATGACATCAGCAGGATCTCAAAATTGCAGTACACCTTTACTGGTTTAGGAAATGAAACAAGGGTATCAAGTCATGTTTAATGTAAACAGAAGTCATGTGGTGAGCAGACCCCTCACATAAGCTGTGCTGATAGAAACTGGTAGCTTCTATAAAGATCTGAGGTTTTTTAACCACTTTTCCAAATAGCAGACCTGTAATCAAAGTTTCTGAGCAAGTGGCTCGGTTAACCAGAAGTTGCTAGCAGATACACAAACCTCAAAAACAATCTGGGACCAATTACGGCCTATTACAGACCCACAGGCCACTAGCGAGGGTAAGGGTTGCATAGAATCAGATGTGGGACGCGTATGAAAACGGATGCACACTTGCAGTGGATGTAATGCATGTACACACACGCACACAGTCTCCCAGCATTGCACGCATCCCCCTTTACTTTGCACACATAGACACAACATTCATTCTTGAGACAGACAGATGCCCAGCAAAGTGGTGATAAGGACCACAGTAAAGGGAAGTAATGCTGTCCTAACAATAAGAAATGCCCCAAAAGATTAAATTGCACCCTAGACAAAGAGATACAAACACAGACGGCACAAAAGAAAACAATTTTTGAGAAGATTTTATCACTATAGGGCTACATCTGAGACTTGTGAAAAACTTTAAACGATCCTTCACTTGGGTTTTCCATTTTTACCTTTTATGGTGTTTTACCCAGAAAGCCAACTGATTTGGAGTCTGGATTTGCCTCTTGCAGCCCTTAAATCTTTGCATGCAGTATTTTGGGTATGTCTAGGCACGCACACACACACACACACACACACACACACACACGGAGCAAGTTCACAGCTGGTTGCTATTATAGCCACTTACGGCAGAATAGTGCCCTACATTTTGTATCTCCCGTCAACCTGCTTCACACACAGAGCAAACAAGTAACAGTTCAAATGTTCCTTTACGCAAGACTCGTCAAACTGCTGTTCCCACTAGCATAGCTTCACAGCCTCACTTGGAGCCATATTGACATATTTATGCATGCTGTGGGAAATGTAAAAATGTTTTGTTTCTCAAAATATATACCGCAGACACCCATCATACCGTGCATGTGCATCACTATTATTACTACATTTTTTAACCAAGATTTAGGGGAAATGGGAAAGGAGTGCCTGCGATGGACTGGCGACCTGTCCAGGGTGTACCGTGCCTTTCGCCTGATGTCAGCTGGGATTGGCTCCAGCCCCCCCGCGACCCTGTACGCAGGATAAGCGGTTGACGATGGATGGGAAAGGAATGCGAACAACACTACGTGTTGTTTTATTCAGTGATACCATACAAGAACACTATATAACCAAAAAGCTACAGAGAAACAGGAATTGTTTACAACTTAACAGGGGTTGTATTCAACCACAGCCAAAGGAAAAGTCCAGGAAGAAAAGTACATGAAAAGTTGAACCAATTGCATACGGCACAGCACCATAGCATAGTCAGTTGTAATGATAAAGGGAGCAGAATGCTAACAACAGCAACAACAGCAAGTTTGTGAATGGACACGGACCTATGACAGGAATGTATTCTTGGGAACAGAGGTAATTTAACCATCGTGGCAAAATAATGTTGTGTGATGAAGCATGACTTTGTTCTAAATGATCCTGACTAAGGGCTTAAAATCTAAGACATGACGTAAAATGTAAAGTGATTGCTAAGTTCCACAACATTGACGGGCTTTTAAGGGGTGTGTGTGTGTGTGTGGGGGGGGGGGGGGGGGGGGGGTATACACACATACTGTGGTGTTTTGCACAGCTGTGGCAACAGAACAGGGGATGTACCACATGCTAGCAAGAACAAAGGCTCACAGTGGGGGGTGTATCTGTAAAAGAGGAAATCACACACACCTCCCATTTTCTGTCTGTTTCACATCAAAGTAAAGGGCCTCATTTTCAAGGTGCCTTAAACAAACATTCTGCTCCTGTGAACATTTTGTCCATGCATTATCTTGTACTACACCGGATGTCAATATATATTGTGATTTTCTGGACAAGCTTTTCATGGAAAAAAATAATCAGACTGGAATGTTTTTGGCTAATCCAGCAAATTAAATACAAATAAAGACTGAATACCCGTCAACTCAAGCTCTTTCAACACATTGATACAAAAATCCTTTAAAAATCAATACAAAAAAAATAAAGAAGTCTCGACTGACTTGCAGCATAGCCTGATATACCCTGTATAAATAGCATGGCAAAATCTCAGATCTGTCTAACAGTATATACAGTAGCATTACATCACCCAACCGTAATGTATATTTAACATCTTACCAGGATACTGCTGGGGCTCGCAGCTGAGCTCGCCAAGGCCGTTGCCATAGCAATAGCACTTGTACATGATTCCATGGATGACTTTATCCCAAGACTCTCCAATCTGATAGAAGGCTCTCGTCTCCGGCTCCTGGCACTGGTCTGAGGGCAGAGTCACATAAAACCAAGTCATGAAACAGGGACCACCAACCAAGAGTTTTGGAGCCGACACATAGGCTGTTGTCGTGAATGATCACCATTTTCAACAAACAAAAATAGTGGGTTCAGGAAAGGCTTCGTATCTATATAGAGTGGGAGTGACACAACCACATAAGTATAGAATAATCAGACCAATAAGCAATCATGTAGGGATTAGTCTCTTTCCTTTCATGAACCTTCTATTTAGCTAAGACAATGGTTTTGAATGAATATGAACACCGATAAAATTGCGCAGGCTGTAAGATGTGAACCTGTATCTTGGTAAACTCACCTATGGCATCACACTTCCAGCGTCCACGCCCCTGTCCAAAGCAAGTGCAGTTCATCGAGTAGCCTTCTTCGTGTTGTTTGGTGAAGGTTTGGTTCACCTCATAGGTCAGACCATCCACGATACACTGGTCTGCAGTAGACACACACAAGCACACACATATAGATATAAAAAGACATGAATGAGTACCCCACAGCTTTTGCACACCTGCTCTTCTGAACTATTGTGTGCGCATGTGTTGCAGAACCGAAGCCCCATAAAGTGCAGGGGTGCAAGCTCACTTTTAACCTTTTGGCAGGTGAGTGATTACATGACATGTCACCTTTCACCTCTTCACTCAGAGAATTCTAATATTATTCCCACATTATTACCCCAGACAGGGGAAGAAAAGGAGATTGAGGGTTGCTGTCGTGGTAGTGTTTTGTCTATCTAACCTTCTGTCTCCCCAGGCCACACACACACACACACACACACACACACACACCTTTAAGCTGGGAGTAAGCGACACAACTCCATTCTCCTCTGCCATTGCCAACACAGGTACATCGCATCATGTGACCCAGAACATCGTGCCGTTTGTCCCACTGGTCTCCCACACGGTACATCACCCCTTCAGTGGTCGTACACACTTCTTCATGGGCTAGAACACAAAGGACAAAGCAGGTTACAAAAGCGCATACCAATATGTCAGTTTAATGCTTCTGAAATGCTAGATAGGTTTTCAAGAAAGGGTTGGATTTTGGGGGAAAACTGGAACAAACTCACACACAACTTGAGTTGAAAACACAAACTACACTACACATCCACAGGCATGCATCCAAACACGCACGATATGAACACATCATACACATTAATTGTTAGTAACACAAGCGGTGCATACTAGCGTCAAGATAAAAACAAACACACCATAATGAATGATCCCCCTTGGAGATCACTGCTTCTACCCTACAATTACTACACAAGGCTGTAGAGGATACCACCACCACAGGACACCTGTGTCCATAGTAAAGAAGAGCTTCATGGATTAAAAACCAGAAACAGCTGGCTTGTGTCCTTATGTGTATGAAGGACTGTGTGTGTTCACCATGTGTTCTCCAGTTATTAAAAAGAGGGAGTAGTTTCCATCAGGAAAGATAGAAAGTGTGTGAAGGTGGGTAGGACAGGCAGAGACCTGCCTCTGTGTATGTGTGAGTGAGTGAGTGAGTGAGTGAGTGAGTGAGTGAGTGAGTGAAAGAGAGAGAAAGGGAAAGTGCTTCTGCAACTTCTCTCTATGAGTGTATGTATCCTCACTGCATGCCTAGTTTAAAAAAAATAACATAAAATAAAAGGCATTTGAATGTTGAACTGAGGTTTTGGAGCTGTACCGAATAGTTTTAAGTTTCAAAGCTTAGTTCCAAACGTTGACATTCAAATTCTAAATAAACATTCGAATGGTGCCCGGCTTTTTTTATCATGTCTAGTCATTCTGCAGTGTGCAATATCACCAGGGGACTATAATCCAATAAAAGTGCGGAGTTACTGCATTGAATAAATCAATGTGCCAGAATTTTCTTCAATTTAACAAAGATAAAACTGAAGTAGTTATTTTTTGGAGCCAGACATTTTGGTGTAGTCATGGACCTGAATTTCATCAGCCACATTAAGTTAAAATGCTCCATATTTGTATAGCTCCTTTCTAGTCTTTTCGACCACTCAAAGCGCTTTTACACTACTTCTGCATTCACCATTCACTCACATTCATACACTGAGCCTAAGTGCTCAAACAGAAACTAACATTCACACACATTCATACACTGGTGGAACAGCCAACAGGGGCAATTTGGGGTTCAGTATCTTGGCCAAGGACACTTCAACATGCAGCCTGGAGGAGCCTTGGATTGAACAGCCGACCTTCCGATTAACAGGCAACCCGCTCTACCTCCTGAACCTATAATAATATATATTATCCCATATATTAAGACAATTAAAAAGTCAGCCAACTATCACCGGATAATATATAAAGGATTAAAAGACTTATGTCTCAGCTGGACCTAGAAAGCTTGTCCTTGCATTAATTTTCAAAACTATAACAGCGTCTTTATAGGTCTCTCTAAAAAAAAAACAATCCATCAGACAGCTGCAGCTGAATTAGAACGCTGGATCACATCACTCCAGTTCTGAGGTCTATAATACTAGGCACTAAATGATTTAGGCCCAATATACATTTCTGATCTTCTGCTATATTATGAACCTTCCAGACCTCTCGGGTCACTGTACATACTGTATCTGTTTAACTCCCCACAAAGAGTAAGTAGGTTGTGTTGGAGATAAAGGAGCAGATCTGCTTTCTTGAATTGAATCTTGAAGCCCAGCCCATACTGATCTGTGCCAGGCAGAATCTGGACCGCAGCCAGACCATACGGTTGGCTGCGCACCAAGGCCGGGGGCAGAAATACAGGGGCTGGAGATTTTTAGGACATGGTCTAGAATATTCAAGCCTCTGGGTGGTGGTTTGAGATATGCAGTGGCCAGGCCTGGGGCTCAACCTAATTTAGGCATTTTAATGATCACAACAAGGGCTAGTAAACTTCATGTATCTCTATGATTTTTTATTGTTTAGTAATCATTAAAAAAAAATCTCATACTGTGCGTCACACATGATGATGCATTTTTGGTCTAAAATCATTGTTGAAAAAGGTGCATGAAGTGAATGCAATTCAAGCTAATATTTCTCAAAGCCTCATCTAAATAAAACCCAGGCTTTCTCTGAAATAATTAAATTAACTGCAATGTTCATGTGTTACAGCATCACAGCCCAGTATGTGATTTCTATTTTATATTAAATTTTCTCTTTAATTACTGCACGGCCGTTTGGACATGAAGGGAGCGACAATTTCCTCCAGACAGATACTACCCAATAGTACGTTAGGAGACTCTAACTGAGAGAAAATACAATAAGATATACAAGTAATTATGGTCATATTTTTGAGTGTTGTTGATGTAGAAAGAAAACAGGAGATCTAATAATGTAAATGGGCTAGTTTGCATAATGGAGGTGCACCCTTGATGTAGGCTCACAGCTGGAGACAGTTAACCTACCATCCCAAGAACACACGGCAGACACCAGATTATCCTATCCAGCAATCTTTCCAGAGGACCGCCACAGGTGGAGGAGAAGGGGCTCCAGACTATTACTGTTCTTTAAACGCCGCGATTAACATCTCAAGTACCGTGTTTGTTTTGACAATCCCTGTGAAGTCATTAATGTCCATATCAAAGACCCCATGCTGCTTTGACTGCTGGGCTGAGTTTAAACACAGACAACCTGCTCCGTCGATGGCTAAAGGGCTAGAAAACTGTTTATTCCCTCTTAACATCTTGACGGGGTGTTTGTAACTACAGGGTGTCGTCCCAAAAGGTGGGTCCCAGGCGTTAAGTAGGAATATAAATGGAATTCTGAAGAAAAATATAGCTTTAAAATAAAAATAAAATCGTAAAGGTTTGTACAATCCATGAACCCATTATTTGCCGTGTACCATCATAAAAATCTGGATGTCTACATGTGCATGTGTCAACTCTAAACATCTGCAGGCAGCAGACTGACTTCAGAGTTAAACAAGTTTCAAATATTTGAACTTCCTAAAGGATCTGTCTTGCCACAAAATACAAAAGATAAGTTCTTATGAGGTAAAATAAATCCAGTGCTCTACTTTTCTTAGAATTCAAAGACAACTTTATCTCAGATAAGTCCTGTAGATGTTTTCACTTTGTACCATCCACATTATACAGTCTGCTGCCAAACCACCCATTCCATCTTCTATCTGCATACTTTGAAGTCGACCAATTTCTACTTTGATGTAGACAGTAGTAAGAAGGATTTTTTGGTTAACTTAGAGCAACCTTTGCTTCCAATTTGTGGATATTGTTTTACATCTGACTGCAGATCATATACACACTAAATTCAAGCAGTGCCAGGGATAAACCTCAGTGTTCCACTGCAATTAAGTTTAAAATGCATTGGTTAGCTTGGATCCCCCTTTCAAGACATTCACAGTAGACTAATATTTGTTTTGACAACTCAGCTGTGTTTGTATAAACTGACTTTGGCATCTACTACAAACTCTACCACCCGCCATAATTATGCGGTTTATAAATTAGACTATTCTGCTGATTTAGACATCAGAACAAATTAGCTGTGATACAAAAAAGTCCCCTAGATCTTCACAGTTTGTACTCTTTGTTTAACGGCATGTTGGTATCATCATTACCACTGCATTACTCCTTCACAGACGTTAGTGCAGTGTCAATGACCCCCTGGTGTTTCACTGGCTTCAGCCTCTTTTGTTACCCATGGAGACCTAATTGACACCTATACAACGCAACACCACATTTCCTAAGGCAGCAGTGGCCTCAATGCGAATTTGGCTCTGCTATAAATAAAAGCTGAGAATTGTAAATTAGATTTTGTCTGGGCCATTAGCCCTGACTCCTTTTTAACATCACTCTGATAATAGCATTTATGTAAATTAAAGTTTACATAAGGTTACCAATCTTTTCATCAAAGAATGTGCTTAATACAAAGGCCATGTTAACTCTTTGATTCAGAATGGGTGGAGATACATTTTACTTAAGACTGGGAGGGACACTGCAATTAACCGTGCTAATCACGTTGATGACCCCCATGGCTAGCAATTTGCTGAGCTGATTCTCAGCCTGCCAGTTCCCAGGCTGTCCACAGTAATGCAAATACATTTAAAACATTTTTCCCCTTTATTTTGGCCATCTAGCCACATTTAGTTGGCATTTTTAACCTTTAAAAAAAATGAATAGTTCCTTCTCTCTCTCTCTCTCCATCACACTTACACACACACACACACACACACACTTACCAGCCATGGGACAGAACCCAAAGCGCTGTTCTGTATCATAGTCGGTTGTGGTGCCACACCACTTCATGCCATCTCTACGTCCCTCCGCAGTACAGTCAGTGTAGTTTCGGCCATTATAGAGGAAGGGGAACTGGCACAGAGCACCGTTAGAATTACCGCCTCGTGTTGCCACCATTACTGTTAAAAGAAGAACACAATAACCTTATAAATTGGTATCACTATGAGTTATCATTATCCAAACCCCATTGCAATTCATGTTTAATGGTAAACATACATGCTAGTAGTCAGTCAGACTAGTCAGAAAATTTAGCTAGTTTTTATTACCTAATTTGGCTCACATAAATATTACATTAGTCTATTACATACATTGCTGAGTAATTTCCCAAAAAAGAATCAAGTTATTCTTCAGACAACATAACAAAAATTTTCTCACAGACCGCAAAATACCAGGCCTCAATTCATTACATTTATTCATTTAGTTGACGCTTTTATTCAACTTACAATTGCTATAAATGTCAGAGGTTCACATGTCACACTTCTCGAGCAACAATGGGTTAAGTGTCTTGCTCAGGGACACAATGGTGGGTGAGTCACAGTGGGAATCAAACGCGGGTCTCTCACACCAATGTCATATGTCATTTCCATTGTGTCATTGCCAATTCAGAGCCTTTAAGGCGTTCCCATAAAACAGTTATGACAAGTGTTTAAACATTTAAATGGGAGATTCACCTAGTGTCCACTGTTGTTATTCACACACCACCAACACTACCAGCTTTAGTAAGGTAGCTGCCTTTTCCCCCCATGCTAGATTTAGCATTTTGTATTTGAAAACAACACGAGGAGATTAGCGAGATTGTTTTTCTAGCGAAAGTCTCATCACTCTTGGTCTGGACACCAGTATGTAGAGAGCATATTAACCAGACAACAGCCAAGAGCTTCACAGAAGTAACATTAATTAGTTACAGCTAATCAGAGCTCATTTTCTGGAACTCTTCCAAGTCAAGGTTAAATTATCTAAACAATTGTTCAGCCATTGTCAACTACCAATTTTACTTTTAACATTCCTTCAATTCCCGCCTTTAAAACATTAAAACACATGCTCACCATTCTTCTCTGTGCAGAAAGAATATTTCTCATCGGTCTCAAAGTCAGAAGAGGTAGAGCACCAGAGCTGTCCATCACTGCGTCCATCAGAGGTACAAGAGTGGTAGGTCTTCCCCTTGTAGACAAAGGGGAACACACAGGGCTGACCTCCAGAGTTGCCACCATATACTGGAGCTGGTCCGTCTATGTGAAGACAAGAACACACAAATACAGTAAACACAACAACATACACAGTTCATCACCTCAACACCTGCTTTCACATGTTGTTCATTGCTCCTCAGCCTACAGCTGCAGATATGAACTTATAAAATAATATAAATTATGGCCACTTTTGTAGGAGATTTTTCATGTAATAACTCTGCACTGGGATTCCGTGAATTCATAAAGACAAAGAGCAGCTCTTACCCCACTGTTCACAGCTAACTCCATTGCCAAGACAAGTACAGATCATCTGCTTGGTTCCCTGGTTCTTAATCCAGCGCTGGCCGATGAAATACGTCAGTCCTGCATCTGTCCGACAGGGTCCCTCCTGGGGAAGCTCAGGCACATTGGCAGGCTGGTAGACCACAGGCTGGATGTTAGTGATCACACGAGAGCCAGTGCCTGAAATGTAACGTTGGATTCAGGTCAGGGGCAGCAATAACATCCAAGAGCCACATAAAAACATGCCCAAACTAAAAATTACTTATGAAGTGATGTTGTAGCTAAAACAGCACAGAGGGTTCCTTTTAATTAAAACACAAGAACTAACATCTTTGAACAAGCAACTGTCACTGGAGCCCGGCTCTATGCATGATATTAGCTTAAACAACATGTAGAATCAGAAGGAGCTTTATAAGCTTTATTGCCAAGGAGTGTTTTACACATACAAGGAATTTGCTTTGATGGTAAGGTTGGTACACATAGACAAACATACAATTGGAATATATATTGCAAGTTATAGTGAATATTAAAAAGAAGAGAGAAAAATAATACAACTATTTGCAGAGAAAGAACATCGTCGCAGATATTTACATGTGCATTATTCTGGGTTTGTGTTCTGGGAAGACTGCACCGGGTCATCAATGATTATGTCCCATTTACAAAAAAAATAAGCTTTCCATTTTTATTTCTTTACCATCGCTGTGTCCCGACAATTATGTTTCTGTCTCACACCCAATAATCACTTCAAACCACTTCAAGCACATTGCTCCCACTAAATTCCCCTTTTTTCATTTCTCCTTCTTCATTTCCCTGCTCCCCGTCCCTCGTTTCTCATGAGGTCATGATCACAAGTTATAAGACACGTCTTTCTCACTTCAGCACTCAGGACACTTGGCACTTCTTATCTCTCCCTCCTCTCAGCATCTGTCTCTGGTATACATTCTTATCTCCACACAGAGAGCAGGAGGGAGGGAAAAAAGGGATAGGGATATTATCATTCCTCACCTAGGCCAGTGGTGTGAAGAGAAGCATGTCGCTCACACTTCCACTCCCCTCGGCCGTTCCCAGTGCACAGACACTGGAGTTGGTAGCCCTGGGCGTCTGTCTTGGTCCACGCATCTCCAATACGGTAGGAAGTCAGAGTATCCTGGTCGTTACAGCGATCTAGGGCAGAAGGGAATGAGAGGAATTCATTAGGAATAGATGAAAACTGCGAGACAGCAATGTGGCCCTGTAAAAACCTTTATGGTAATGTGCATGATTAAAGGTCTGCAGTGATTCTCTGGGGAATGATTCCACCTGGCCACCAGCTGTTACCATGTTTGTGCTTTGTGACTCTGTTGATAACTTGTTGGACACATGCATGATAACAATTTATTGATGACCTCCACCACAAAAATGTCCAAGGCCACCCTGAAGGCGTGACAACAGGCCAACAGGGAACAACATTAATTTTCATCTGTTACATCTGTTTCATCAGTCAGCATCATTGAGGATGTAAGTAACGGTTCTAATTGGGAACACAACTGGTAAACATTTCCTCCACAGCATGACAAAAGTCCTCCGACAAATCGCAAGCAGCACTTTGCTTTTAGTTCTTGTATGTCTGTGTGGCATTGCTTGCACAATACATAGATTTTTTTTAAAACTGGTCCAAAGTAATGCTGCTCTTTCTCATACAGATTAAGTACAGTTTAGATTAATGGGGGAAATATTGAAAAATGGGGAGGTGACAGCACAATACAGAGGAAGAAATAAAGGGTTTCTTACTTCTGGAGGTGCATGTGATGCGTCCACTTCCCTCTCCCAGACATGTACAGTCCAGCACCATCCATCCCTGGTACGGCTTCTCCCATGTCTCCCCAACAACGTAGGATGCGCCCGCCGTGTTGTCATAGCAACGCTCAGCTGTAGGTAACAGACACTCATGAACTACTTCATCAATTTAAAAGTTTCTTTCCCCTACTATTCAAACATCGTGTACAAATGAATTCATTAAGTGACTGTAAAAAAAATTCATTCAAAATTTTCTGTCAAGCAAACAAACAAAACCATCACGGTAAATACAGTCATCTGTTTATCAGTGGCTGTGTCAATGACTCACAGACAGGTTTGCAGGTCCACTCTCCCTTGCCGTTGCCCAGACAGACACACTCCAACAAGTAGCCTCCAGTTTCATGGGGTCTCCTCCAGGTGTCACCTATCTTATATGAAGCCCCACCTTCATGACAGCGATCTGGGGAGATTCAAAGAAGAGGGATGATTTTAGAGAGAGATTAATATGCATGTGATTGCAGAAAAAGAAAGCAAGGGGAAACAAAAAAAGACACACAAACTCAAGATACTACTCCCTCTCAGCTAACCGCTAACAGCTGCACGGCACCGGTTGCTAATCAGCTGTGGAGAATATGGAGATTAGCCAGTTTACTGGCTGCAGTCTGGGAAACCAGGCTGTACACGGAAACACATGAGCTAGGATGTGTGGTCTGGGGTAAGAACAGTTAATGGCAGCATGGCAACTCCTCGTGGAGCTAGAAATATGCACAAAATCACTTACTGGCAATGGTGCAGCTGATCTTGCCCCTCCCAGACCCGATACAGGTACAGTCCCAGATCATGCCGTCCTTGTGTGTCTCATAGGTTTCTCCCACAGTGTAGGACCGCTGGTTGGTCTTGTCATAGCACCTTTCCTCTTCTATCAGGAGAAAATGATGTAAAAGATTTGTGTTTTATTAAAGGGAGAGAGAAATAAAGATTGTCTTATGTGGCAAATGATGCAAAAGATGTGCTTTATGGAAAAGAAAACAAACTAACCTTCAGGTTTGCTTTTACACTTGATACCAGCAACTCCATGGCAGGTACAGACCAGAGTGCTGTCCCTATACCGCCGCTCCCACTGTTCATTAATGCGATAGAAAACGCCATTCTCTTGACAACCATCTGACAGGAGGACAGAAAAAAATACAACTGATGAGACTTAGAAAGCTAGAATCAGCCAGCAGGAGATCAAATAAAAAGCAGCACCCCTCCCTTTGCCCCCACACCAAATCACATTCAGTATAGGGAAAATTTGAGAGGGGAAAAAAAAAAAACACACTCCATCCAAACAGACCCAGTATACACTGTACCTGCTTACCAAGTCCTTTTTGTGGAAAGACAAATGCAGCCACTGGAAAATGGTTTAGCCCTTACCATAACTTCTAACAGCCAGTATTATGGGTTAAAGAACTAAAGCTTTTTTATACCAAAATAAGCAAACCCTATATTGGAATAAACATTCTATTGTGGGACAAGTCTTCACCCACCATGTTTGCAAGAGTGACCCTGGATATGTTAACTTGACATCAAAAAGGTCCCCAGGGCTGAGTAATAAATCAGTTGCACCAAGTTGAGAATAATATCCTCTCTCTCTCTCTCTCTCTCTCTCTCACCCACCAGGCATGTTCTTTGTTCACATCTCATGACTTCACATGCCTCTCTTTTCCCCCCAAATTTAAAATTTAAGCCAAGTGGTTCTATTTCTCTTTTTTCCCCTCAGAAGCTGTCATTCTGCTCCTCCATACACTCATGAAGTTGAGGAGATCAGAGACGTTTTCGAGGTTGAGGTTAATCTAGTGACTCCAAGATCAGAGATGCCGATTAAAATTTCTGTGGCTTTTTATCATATACCATGGAGATGCCAATAGCAAAGACGCTTTTAAATTGATTCACATTACACCCGAGAGACTACGGAGACACGATCTGAAAAGATGATCGTGGAAAATATTCTCCTTCAAATTCTCTGAGGTCCTCTAATTGAGCCCTTGTGGCCCCCTGAGCCAGGGTAGGGAACCATTTCTTACTATAAGACATTTGTGACTAATAACTTGGGACAAGAAACTTACCCTGAGAGACTGAGGGACGTGATGCCCTTGTCGCCGGGTCCTGCGCGTCCCTTGAGGCAAACAGTTCACCGCGCTCCCGATACAGAGCGCAACCAGCACCCTGGCTACGGTGCTGCCGGACATACTGTTTAATGCGAGCCGCCCGGTTATTGCAGAATATGGGTACAGGTGCTTCTTGTGTAAAGTTTAGATTCACCAGGGACGGAGAGAAGTCGGTTCCAGTGCAACTCTTAATCGCATGCCGCGCTTCAACCTGGCGTTCAGTCCGCTCCTCTCCAGTCTGCGGCCCCAGTGTGCAGGTTAACCAGTCTGTGGGAGTGATTTATCTGGGCATGGCTTAGATTCAGCCGGAGGAGGGAGGTCCAACAAAGAGACCGACTACCCACGCACGCAGCACGTACAAGTGAGGCAGACAAACTTTTTAGAAACAAAGAGCTTTAGGCTATGCAAATTCCAGGTCATAAACTCTTCTTCTTACTATTTCTAACCATGAGGTAGGCTAAAACAGAAAGATTAACTCAAAAATGCAATGTTTCCAAAATGGTTGTATCCATGCAATCTGAAATAAACAAACATTATTGAAAAATAAAGAAGTATTTGTGAAATCATGAGTCAATGCCCCATTCGTTGATTTTTATTACCCCACCTGGTTAAAAATGATGTAGTGCCCTGGCCCAGCTCCACCACTTACTGCAACAGTTTGGGGTTTGGGACCCTGTTGAGCCACAGCCCACTCTCCTCTGCTCTCTCTAAATGTCATCCAGGGAGAAAAGAAAAATCAGTAAACTACTCAAACCTCCTATAATTTTACACTTGCCTTTGTCACCATCTATCCGAGTCATGTCTGAAGAGCCCCAGGTGACAGGACATGTAGAGCCATATGTGGTCCATGTTTTATCCTTTCAACGGGGCAGATGCTGCATATGCTTCTCTGTTTCCAGCTGTAAGACCGCACTTCACCACCCCCCTCACTAGATGTGAAAGACAGTGTATTATTTTAATTTAATTGTTTTGTTCACTATCAGGGAAGCCATTTTCAAACATTCATACCATTCCAAACCGTCCAAGCCATTCCTAAGTGATATTGTCATCATGTGACTTATCGCTTGTTCATGTTGTTTAAGTAGTACCAGCTTGCTACAGGACTTTGAGGCTGTGCAGTATATTGTTCTATAGTTTTACACAGTCCGGGTGGTAATCTACAGAGATTAGGTCAATTGCGTCAATGTCTGGAAAATATCCCGTAGCCCAAAGTTTCAATGTCTGGGAAGTGTTAATATGTCCACGGGTTTTATTGAAATGATTCCTCTTTGATACTAGCTTACTTCTGTAAAGTGCAAGTCAGGAGAGAGAGAGTGCCTCCTCAGTTGTACAGACACTGGGTGTCATTATTTCCTCTGCAATGTCATGAGCTCAACTATTACAGCACTAACACTTTACGATTAATGATCAGTCAGTTGGTCAATCAAGCCGTGGTGAAAAGGGAGTGCAGGCTCTCTGGGTAAGGCCATTTGGGTTTTGTGTGTGCCATGGACACATTTTTAAGGTGTTACAGAGGTTTTATGTTGATATCATTTGGCTGTACCGTGACATTTGTCTTAACGTTTATTGTTTATTGAGCTCCACCACAGACAATGATCAGTTACAGGAGAACTTATTAAGATTCATGTCTGGCTTTCGGACATGTCTGGGATTTATGCTGGTCATGGTCATGTTGGTCATCCTGATGAAAGCTCTGCATTCATGTTTTACAAATGTACCCAGTTCAAGGAGTGGGAAAACACCAATTCTGAGCAGAGAAAATCCACATGTTTTCGGTTATAGGCCTGCAGCGCAAATGCAATCTGCTTGTCTATCTGTCTGCATAATGCAACTAATCTCCATGTGACAGTTGACCTCTTTTAAGGTCTTTCTTTCTCCCCCCCCCCTCCCAAACCCTCAGATCACACTATCTATATATGGACATGCTTGTTGGATGTCGATGTCATGTAAAGGTGAGGAGGTGAAAAGGTCAACTGATATACATCAATTTTACACCTTGAGTGCATTTCTCATTCTCTGCTGAGGCATTGTATCTGTGTTGAACTTGAATTTAGAGGGCAACAGAAAATTGCAAAGAATGTACGCAGAGAGACAACTGACTTCAGACCTTATAGCAGAGGAGAGGGAAACAATATGTGTCTTTGCGACATGCTTAAATAATGATATAATCCTAGTCAAATCAATTTTATGTCGTGAGATAGTTATAAAATGCAGTTATCCATTGAACTGAAACCAAATCAAAGCCCTAACCACCGGATCTAATATGTCATTTGGGCGGTGGCTTGTTTTTGTGCTCTTTGATTATTTCATTTACAAGAATTTCATACTTTGACATCATAAGTTTACAAAAAAAGTTTACAACAGTTATTTATCCTTTTTACCCCCTTACATGACTACCCCAAACTCAAATCATTTCCCTGTGGTTACCATCTCTGCTCCTGCTATGCTGTGATGATGAATGATGAAGTCGGAAATCCCAGATTAAAGCCATTATCTGGGTTATTATGCAAGCTAACTGCCCGCTGTGGTTTCACATGTAAATATTCAGACATTCTTATGGTTATAAAGACTGGTTTTAAGTGGTAATTTGCCATTAAAATTGAATCAGGCAGGATCACTTCCAGTATGCAACTGGTTACATTGTTAACAATGACAATAACATCATGATCTAGAAAACATGATCACAGACACAAAAAAGTTATGGTTTTTCGTTGATGAGACTGTACTGAGCCTCTCTGAATGTAACCCGGCACTGTGAGTGGCCTTACGCAGATTATACAAGACACAGTCTTGTTCTGGATGTTTGCAAAGATAGCTGGGAAGAACAAAGCAAAAGGACAGAGAGAGCATAAAAGAAATCAAGAAAAGTGAAATAGAAAGGTAAATAGTTGAAGGTTTAAGCTGAAAGAAAAAGTGATAGGCGTGAACAGAAAGTGTAGAAATCTCAAACCACGGGAGGTATGAATAATCCTCAGACAGTGGGCGAATAGAGAGGGAACTTTTATGCTGATGTGTGGAAATCATACTGTAACGTTTTGATTGCATTACACAACACATTCTGTTCGATCATCCTGAGAAAGAAGACAAGGGTGAGGAAAGAGGTCACAGCTGCAAAGCCTCAGCACAGCTGCTGTACATTTTCGTCCAACTTTTTCTCTCTAAGCCTTTCTCCAAATCTTGCTCTAAAAAATCTTTAGGCGCTGTCTGGTCTTACCCTCTCTCCCTCTTCATGATGTAGCTTAGCATCATGAAGCGTCTTTGGCCAATTGGCCGTTCCTCCCATATTATTGTATCCCAGGAGGAGTCTCTGCTGGCTTGCACTTCTCATCTTACACTATTGCCTTCCAGCCTTCCTTCCATTCTGAGAAAAAAACTCAAGATTAAAGTCGTACATTTACAAGAAAAATAACTTGGATATTCTCTGAGATTAAAGAAAAAATACATGCTTGTGTTTTTAAAGGCTACTACCAGCATTCTGAGATACTTCCTTCTGTTCAAAGACCGAAAGCATAAAATATTGGGGAAAACTGCAGACATTTACAAATGACTAAGATATGATGTGAGTTTTTTATCAGAATATTACCGCTCCCCTATCTCCATAATTTACCCTTATACGCTGTCTTACAAATGTCAACCTCTGCGTTAGAGGATAAATCCGGAGATCACCAAAGTCAGCAGTGTTCATCCATAAAGGTCAGTACAGACCAAATGTGCCAATTCATCCAATATTTGTAGTGGTGATATTTCAGTGTGGACCAATGACTGATCACACTTGCAATAAGAACATGTTTTGTTCTTGTTGCTTGATAAACTGACATTATACAAATACCTGCATATTTAGAATTTGTTTTCCAGTTCCATAAAGTTTAGAAGTAAAAAGTCAAAAATAAATATGTACTTCCATGAAACTTTTCTGCATTACAAAGGCAACTTCCTTGTAGTAAAATTGGAAATATCAGACTTTATGAGTGTAACCGGCCCCGAGGTTATATTGTACAGTCTGGACTCAAACTCGCAACCTTGGGTACAAAAGGAAACAAATACATTTCCAATCTCTGCCAACATCCCTTTTGTTTCCCTTCCCCCTGCTTTCTTTTCTTCTTCCTCCTCCAGCCTCCCCACTCCTCCAGGGAGATGAGGTCACAGTCTGAGGAAAGATGGAGTGATTAGGATTTCAGACTCCACACTTTTCTTGGCCAGATTAGTTCTGGATATCTTCAGAAACATCTCAGTATTTACAACTGTTCAGACCTAGTTTGAAATGTAGCATAAATCACTGTGCAAGCGAGTAGGCAAAATTATTGTCCTGTTATCTTTCATCCATTCAGTAGCCGCTTGGAGCAGTTGCTCTCAACATTTGTCTTTCAGTATCACAGATGTTACCTTTCCAGAGGCGTTCTTTAAACATCTAAAGATGATGTTGCTCAGTAACGTTGTTAATTGTCATGTATGAAAACACGTGTTGAATTACGCATTTAAATATTTAACTCAACTTTATATTTAATTTGTAGAATTTTTTTAGCTGGCGTGATGCAGATTTCATAGATGTTTTATGATTCTGATAAATGAAAATGTTTTGGTGCGGGTGCCACCCCCTGGAGATTCTGATATCTGCCCCACCCCCGTGTGACCTTACTCATCTCCATTTGCTTTGCAGATGTGCAGGAAAATCACAAGAGACCGTGAGAGCAACATGGCTCCTAACCACCTCAACAACCATTAGCCCCAGTACACCACAGATATGAATGATTCAGATCTCTGACCGTTGCATTTTTACACATAGACAGGAAACAAGTGTGTCATGTACGCCTCATGAGCCACTTCCGCTTCTATTTCATGTGAATGGGGACTGTTTTTTGTTTTGGAAATCATAAGGAAAGTGTGACTATCACTTTTTTGTAGAATTCAGTGATAAAGGTCATTCATTTTGGTCGGATTCATCACTATTCCACCTAGTCTCTAGACCAGCATCATTGTGAGGTCCCACCTTAAAGCTAACTAAGCTATGGTACCATAAAGCATTAGCTATGCCATTCTCGTGATGCAACACCAGGTGCTCTGGGCCCGTAGTGGCAATGACCAATACACGATTCTCCCTATTACAAGTCAGTGTACCATCAAAATGAAGTGAAATTTGAAGTTTAAGTGTTTCAGGATCTTGTTCATGAGTGATGGTAAAATAGAGCATGAGATGCACAAGTGGACTGATGAGGCGTCAGCAGTGGTCGCAGCCACCATAAATGTATCTATGGGTTGTAAT